CTCTGCACAACATGTATTTGTACTCTTACGTACAGCATGCTCAGTATGCCTATGCTGGTATAACCAGCCACTGATCTTTCCCTTCTTCACCCTTGTCTCCCTCAATGCCACTCATATCTCTTTCTCTTTCCCAACATAGTATCTCCACATTATGAGACTAAATTAAAGATGTTATAGAAAGGCTTAACTATCCTAGTTAAGCATAATGGAAAGATGACTCAAAACAAGTATTTGCTTATTTTTAAGCTCATACCTTGAACAAACTAAAAGCTGAATAATAATGATAGAAATAGTAATGATTTCCGGTATTTTCTTGTGTTATTTTCTTCAGATTGACACTCAATGAATCTTTATTCATGCAACAAAAATTGAACAATTGTCTACTCTGTGCCAGGCACTGATGTTGGCCCTGGAGGTGCACCAGTGTACAAAGCAGACCTAATACTTTGCCCACATGAAATTTGCTTTCCAGTAGGATAAGGCAGGCAAAAATAAGACACTGGGTGATACGTTAGGAGGCAATGACTTCTATAAAGGAAGAACAGATAGAGCAGTGGGAGGCACATTATTTTAAATAAGAGGGTCAATGTACATCTCTCCAAGAAGATGGATGACATTTGAGCAGCCTTGAAGGCATCTTCTTCTTTTAAAGATTTATTTATTTGAGAGAGAGAGAGAGGGAGAGAGCACAAGTGGGAGGGACAGAGGGAAAGGAAGAGAGAATCTCCAGCACACTCTGCACTGAGCACAAAGCCTGACACAGGGCTTGATCTCATGACCCTGAGGTCAACACTTGAGCCAAAACCAAGAGCCAGACGCTTAACCAGCTGAGCCACACAGGTACCCCTTGAAAGAATCTTTAAATTTTGAACTTTAAATTCAAAATTTGACATGAATTTCTTTCTTAAAACTTAAATTTGTATTACTTAAAGCATAGATGAAAAGAAAGGGTGAATTCTTTTATTAAAGAAAAATCTACCAAAGGAAAGGATATTTTATTTATCTTTGTTATCTCCAGGTGCTTCAGTGATATTATTCTGGAGGTTTCTTCCTTTTACCATTCAGACATGTATCTAGCCCTTTTGCTAAGTGGAGGGCCTGGGGACATTTGTCCATGTATTTCTAGAGCCTAGTGTGGGATTTGGTACATGGTAGGAGTTCATTGAGTTTTTGACCTGAATGTCTAAGCAGTCTTCTTGGCACATATACTTTTATTAAACACATAGGGACCATGTCATGATAGAGGTCCTTTACTTAGCAGAATTCATATTTATATATCCTTTGGTTACTTTTCCTGACATTGTATGAATGTACAGGCTTCTCTTCCTTAAGGTTTCCTTTGTACTTTCAGCATTCAAAGTATTCAAGGGCTCTGGCAGTAAGCACTTAAATTATCCCTTAATGTTACAATCTAATTCCTAGGCTATGGACCTCTTTCTGCTAGAACAAGGCTACTAAAATATCTTACAATAGTCACAAGGTGATTTCTTTTGGACTCATTGCAATGAAATAGCATTTGGGGAACTATTAGCTAGAAGAGGATATTCCAAATAATAGCTCTTTGTTCAGAGTTCCTCTATCAATTCATAGATAAGTCAATTGGCACTCATCATTTTAAACTCATCAGAGGCCCATGTAGTTAAGTGGAATATAAAGGGCACTATAGGCAATAAGCAGAAGCCTTATAACAATATAATGTGTAGAGAGAAAGAGGATTGGAAGATCTATAAAAGCTGCCAAAAAGAACAAAAGATATAATTAAAGGATCAAAAAGACATATTGAACACAGTCTCAGGGACTATTTCAGGCAACAGTAAATGTCTCCTCAAATATATCTTTAAAAGACTGAAAGCAAAGTAGAAATCTAGTCCCGTAGAGAGAGAAAGAAAAATGCCAAATGGAATTGTAGGAACAGGCTAACAAGAATTGGATTTGCTTATGTTAATTTTTACCTTTCCTTAAAATAATTAGATGGTGTCTAACCCAGAGATCAGACAATTTGAAATTCTTAGATAAGAAGAGAAAAGAAAAAAAAAGTTAAAAAGTAAACATGATATTTTAGGCACGGATGGCTTAGAGTAGGGTAGATAAACTGGTGTAAAGAAAACAGTTGAAATTTGTAGTTCATACTCATTTTGCCAAGTAGGTGCAGTTATTTTAGGTTCTATCAAAGTTACATATTATTTAGGAAAATGTTTTCTTTCCTCCTTCCATTTTGTGAAAGCGTGTAGGTTACACATGACTTCCTCAAGAACAGAAAATAATACCTTTAGGAGAAAATACTTTTTTGACAGTGAATTTTCATTACTTGGACCAAAGAGCTTCACCTAGTAAAACATGTCAGAGATACCTAGGGAATTTTCCCATTAAAAATACCCCTACTGAGAACCATCACTGTAGACATTTGATTAGCTTGTAACAATCTTTAGCAATACACTAAACATTATCACTCTTAATTTCTAAAATCATCAACCTCTGTCTTAAATTGTAAGTAAACAATAGTGGGCAAGTTAAAATAAAATGCAAAATAAGAAAATCATGCTATAAGAAGAAATGACATGCTAAGTTGATTTCCTGTATACAGAAGCAGAATTCAGAACTTGTCATCACTCATACTACGTTAATTACATATTGTGGTTTCCTTTGTTCTGAGTAAATCCAAAAGCTTTTTTTTAAATTAAAATTTAATTTAGGTAACATACACTGTATTATTAGTTTCAGGGGTAGAATTTAGTGATTCATCAGTTGCAGATAACACCCAGTGCTCATTACATTAAGTGCCCTCCTTAATGCCCATCATCCAGTTACCCCAACCCCCCCACCCATCTCCTGTCCGGAAACTCTCAGTTTGTTCCCTATAGTTAAGAGTCCCTCTCTGTTTTCATCTTATTTTATTTTTTCTTCCCTTCCTCTATGTTCATCTGTTTTGTTTCTTAAATTCCAAAAGCTTTTTCAGCTTAGTTGCTGAGAAGATAAACCATAACTACTTAAAGATAAAGTATCAAGCTTGAGATCTCGAACACTAGTTCCAAAGCTATACATAAAACAAAACTATCTCAAAGATTATTTGATAAGCCAAGTAAAGGACAAAATTCTTTTGGTTAACTCTGCCTGTGGACACACACATATGCACTCGCACATAGAAACACATATAAAGTGTGCAGTCCAGCACTTTATTCAATCTTTCTCAGAAATATAAATTTGAAGTCCATGCATTGTGCCTCTGACTTAAAAAAAAAAAGAACTTTCCTATGGAGATGAGTATCTTAAACATATTAATTTTAATAGGAAATACTAAATTATTTTGGTGTGTAAATGTAAGTTCATGTATATGCGTACCTACACATAAACAATATTTAGGCACAGGATACATTGGTTTAAAGATGGTCAAGCACTACTTTATACATTAAAGAGCAATCGTTCCAATCCCAAGAGATTTGTGTAGTTTGTACCTAAAAGAGGCATTGTATTTCTACAGAGAAGACTACTACAGAAAAATAATCAGGTTTTTCCATGTTAACACTGGAAAAGCTGAGTGCATGTTGCAAAGCTAAAGGAGCGTAGTAACAAAGGTCTAGAAATCACTTACTGAGTTTCTGCTGTATACCAAGGTTGGGGTGTGTGTGTGTGTGCGTGTGTGTGTGTGTCTGTTTGGTGGGAGTGGGGGTGGATGGCAGGTGTATGAAAGGATTAGGCACTATGAGTCCAGTCCTAAAAATGTGAGAGAAAGAGAGAATTCCTATGTTTCTCTTTAATGGCTGCACTTAATCTTTGTAGAAAGAAGAGCACACTGATCTCCCTTACTCCAACAATTTCAACTCCTGGCCGAATGTATTTCATATCCCTACCCATTCACCTTAACCCCTGAGTATTTTAAAGGAAATGTCAGATATCATAGTATTTTATCCTTAAGTATTTCACTGTATATCTTTTTTAAAAAGAACTTTAAATATAAGCACAATGCCATCTTCAATCTTAAAAAATTTCACCAAAAGTTAATAAAATTTCCTCAATTCTTACAGAGATGTTTTTCTTTATAGTTATTTTTAAAGACCATATTCCACTTATTTTGCCCTGTAGTTTTTGCAGAGTCTATATTTTGCCTCCTAAAGTGTAGTTTAACATATTTCTCTCTTCCCTGACTTTTATGGAAATTTAGATTTGACATAAATTGTTTCAACAATAGAATTTAGTGTATTTTTGAAGAGTGGCTGATGCCTGCTTCTTAGATAAGTTTCTCTCATTGTTCCTCTTCTTAGCCAAGAATTTTATAGAAGCTGTTCAAAGATTAGTATTTTGAAGTTATAAATTCAGAATGCCTCATACTCTAAAGAGAGAACCAGGCATGGATATAATGAACTCTACTAAAAAATGTAATGTGATCTATTTTTAGATGTTTCATAGTGCTTGCTTTTGTATCAGTGTTAATAGAGTGATAAAGTTTCAACTTCTTTATGATCATAAAGCTGGTGTGGAGGGGCAGCCCTTGGGACAACTCCATCAAACACAAGAGCTCTCTGGAACACAATTTGATGGATAATCTTTAAGATTCCTTCTAGCTCTAAACCTCAGAGTGATGATGAGCTGTGTGGTACAATACACAATGTTTTTGCAAACTCATGAACTTCCCTTAAAGCTTTACTTGAGCAAAGCTGTGGAATATTAAGGGGGAAAAGATAGACATATAGCATTTCAGCTCAACTGAAGTATTTCTGGATTGTCAGTAATTCTACAAGTAGAGGTAAAATAGACAATGTATCAACATGCTTCGGTTCCTCTTTCAAGCAAAACAAAATAAAACACCTACCCGTGACAAGAGCCATACATCTGAAGAAAAGTGACAAGGAGCAGGGGAGAAACTCCAAATATAGGCAGTATGGTTTCATCATATATTCTGGACATTTATTTAATGAGTTCGTGTATTATATCTTTGGACAGTTTTCAACTAGTTGTGCCTCATATTTTGTATTCTGCTAAGATTCACGCATCTGTTTCTTTAGGCACAGACAGCACACATTGTCCTGGAAGATGGAACTAAAGTGAAAGGTTACTCCTTTGGCCATCCATCCTCTGTCGCTGGTGAAGTGGTTTTTAACACTGGCCTGGGAGGGTGAGTAATGCTCCTGCTCCAAGGTTTTCTTCTTCCTGTGTGTAGAGGAATAGCTAGATGATCTTACTCATGGTGGGGAGCTGAAATCATCACATCATAATAAGACTACATATTGTCCGGACATTGCACTGTGCTTTTAAGTAGTCTTTTCCAGCATAGATACAAACTCCTCTCTGCTGTGGTAAGTGAAAGAGAACTTGGACACTGGTATTCCCCTGAAAATAAAGCATAACATTAATTCTAGAAACCTAGAGCCCGAGGATGCAGGTCATATGAGATTGCTAAATGGTTTCTGTCAGGGAAGGTATGGATCTGATTAAGGTAAAAACTGGAGCAAGGCAAAGGATGGATAGCACACTCCAGTACCACCCCTTTGGCGAAGTTAAGAATCAACCTTGCACATCTGATATGAAGTACTATAAGGAGCTGAGAAAGTTCTTAGGTACTCTGTGTAATTTCACACAAGAGGAAGAAAGGTGAAATAACAAATCCATTTATTGTCTTAAAGTAATCAAAGGGAGAGCAGGTTCACAGATCTGATATTTTCAAAATTTATCAATCGAGACCTAACTCAGTGTTTAAGATCTGCTAATAGATGTACAGCAACAAAGATCAGAGCTGCTGCAGAAATCACGTAGCTGTTCTTATCAGCCAACAAATGTTTGTTCACTGGGAACCAGGAGGCTGAAGTTCTGGTCTAATTTTCAATGATAACGGATTATGTGATATTGAGAAAATCACTTAACCTTTCTGAATCCTAGTTTCCACTATAAAAATGAGGGGCCTGGATTAGACAGTAATTTATAGCTGGGATTAAAAAAATTTATGAGTCCTTTAAAAAATATGACTGGATCGTTTCAAGACGTTTCCCTTAGAGATTCAGTGCACTAAACTTCTTTAGAGTATTTGATAAATTCTTTAGGAAAATTCAGTTAACCTTATAAAGACAAGGAGATGTTGGGTTAACTGATATTGAAGTTATCGACTGACCAAACTTCCATTATATTATTAATATACATTCTTCTCTAAACTCTTGGCTCTCTGTTGGAAACGAAGAATATTAGGGGGGTTTTAAAATAGTTCCACTGGTGAGAACGTTAAATTACTGCGTATGAAAGCTGTTTGCAAAGTTTTGCTTCATCAGGCAATTATTTAAGCTTTTCGACAGCACTAATTACTAGCTATGTTAATATACCTGCCAACAAACAACTGTTTAATAGAGATCAGAATGATGGAGGGCACTAGAGTTTTCTTCTCTGTGATAGATTATGGGTAATAAATCTTGTCACATCACAAAAGTCAAACAGGACCTGATGGATTAATTTGCTTCTAACCCTGCGGTTCTCTAGGACAAGCTGTATTTATTCATTTACCGGAGAGAGTATTATAAGCATATGTTTAAAGGGAATGGCCAGTTCTTTTATGGAGAGTAAGGAAAGTAAAATTAAATTAATTAAAGATGTTTTTGAGGTAGGAAAAGGCTTTCATTAATAAGATTAGTCCACAGACCCTATTTTCCACTGAGAACTGTTGCTTTCATTCGTTGTATGGCTCACCCAATAAGGTGGTTGATAATTAAAGGGGTTATTTTGTTTTTCATCTTCAAGAAATGCATTTATATTATGTGTAAGCCTTGGTTAAAAAATTATCAGTTCCTGACAGGTGAGAGGCATCTGAGAAATTAGCTGATGGAGGTGTGGATAAATATTACAGCACTCTAGTCACCTCAGGGGTTTGCTGAGCTGAAAGACTAAGTGTTTTGTTGACAAAGGTAGTTCTGGGAGGAGTTTGTCTGGATGGGGTTGAAGAATTTATGTTGACTAATGCCTGAGTTGAACTTTATTGGTTTCAAGGTTGTTGATTCTGTCCCCCTCAGCACCTAAATTCATTACCAGTAGTAATCCATAAGAAAGATTTGGTTTAACTCTTTCTGCGGAAAGTGAAAATGTGAGCGGGGGTGGGTAGGGGCATGAGAGGGGTGGGGGGAAATCTCATTTGCACTGTATACCAGTGCATGGAATAAAGATAACTCCTGGTATTTACTGGAATAATGTTTCTTAATATTAAGAATAAGAGTGATATATATGCATACATATATATATCATAAAATTGAGGATATATGTGTTTTTAACTTTAAAATGAAGACCTACTGCCTTTCTCCCTAATTCTACATCAGTACTTTAAAATAGTTATTTGGAATCTTTTGATTTAGAAGTCAGAAGTGCTTCAGGTCAATTTTTGTGGGATTGATTTTTTTTCTAAGTAGATAACTCTCAAACTTATATACTTCTTTAATAAATTCATAAACTTATATACTTCTTTCTAAAATCAACTATATTGAGTAATTCTTTCATAGACTATATGTATTCTTTTTTGTTGTTGTTGTTAAAGATTTTATTTATTTGACAGAGAAAGACACAGCGAGAGAGGGAACACAAACAGGGGGAGTGGGAGAGGGAGAAGCAGGCTTCTGCCAAGCAGGGAGCCCGACGCGGGGCTCCATCCCAGGACCCTGGGATCATGACCTGAGTGAAGGCAGATGCTTAACGACTGAGCCACCCAGGCGCCCCGAATATATGTATTCTTATTTTTTCCCTTCTCCAGACTTTAAAATAAAAACCTATGGCCTTTATGTTATTGGGTAATTCTGCCACAGAAATTAACTCAGTCGTTTTATTTTATTTATTTATTTATTTTTAAAGATTTTATTTATTTATTTGACAGAGAGAGACACAGCGAGAGAGGGAACACAAGCAGGGGGAGTGGGAGAGGGAGAAGCAGGCTTCCCGCCGAGCAGGGAGCCTGATGCTGGGCTCGATCCCAGGACCCTGGGACCATGACCTGAGCCGAAGGCAGACGCTTAACGACTGAGCCACCCAGGCGCCCCTAACTCAGTCATTTTAAATGTTGAATGAATTTTAATAAACATAGACACCCATGCAATCACCAGTGATGTAATCAGGATACTCTTCAGTTTCCTAAAAGATATTTTTAAAAAACTTAAAATTTTTTGACAATTAATATTTTGGTGAAACCGGCAGCCCTTAATAGTAAATATCAGTTTGGATTCCTGTCTGGTAGGCAAGGGGAAACTTCAGGACACCTGAAAACTTTAAATAGAGCAATCTTTTAGAAAATCAGACTCTGTGAAGGAATTTTTTAAGGAGTTAAAAAGTTTAAGAAGTTGAGGGAATGAAAATTATATGAAAATATGCCTTAGTACTTAGGAGTCAGTTTAAGTTAAAAGCAGAATCAGACCCATAAATACAGAGAACAAACTGGTGGTTGCCAGAGGGAAGGGGGAAGGAGGGATGGACAAAATGGGGGAAAGGGAGTGGAAAGTACAGGCTTCCAGTTATGGAATGAATAAGTCACAGGAATAAAGAGCACCACAGAGGAAATACGGTGATACTGTAATAATAGTCTTGTATCATGACAGCTGGGAGCTACGCTTGTGGAGAACAGAGCATAACATATAGAGAAGTTGAATCACTACGTTTTATGCCTAAAACTAATGGACCATTGTGTGTCAGCTGTACTCAAATGAAAAAAAAAATTTTTTTTAGAAGTCAGTTTGTCTTTTCATATCCGTCATATGATGGGATACGTTTTCATATTCTGTCATAAAATTTCTTGAGATTTGCTAAAATCTAGACACAGCCTTATAAGATTTTAATCTCATGTTCTCTCATTTTCAAGGATTCAATAATTAAGAGCATGTATGTAGATTATAGTTTTGTAGTTACATACATTTTTTGTTGGTAATATTTTGGCATCTTTACTCAGGTACCCGGAAGCTCTTACTGACCCTGCCTACAAGGGACAGATTCTCACCATGGCCAATCCCATTATTGGGAACGGTGGAGCCCCTGACACCGCTGCACTGGATAAGCTGGGACTTAGCAAATATTTGGAGTCTGATGGAATTAAGGTAGTGCCAGTGATGACTCTTTAAAAAGTCTCAATTTGGGGCACCTGGCTGGCTCCGTCGCTGGAGCATGAGACTCTTGATCTCAGGGTTGTGAGTTTGAGCCCCACGTTGGGCATGAAGCCTACTTTAAAAAATGAATCAAAAGTCTCAGTTGGAGGGGGGAATAGTTGATTTACTTTTAAGAATCTAGGATGGGCAAAGTTTCTCCTCAATACTGTAGTACAACCCATTAAATTTGTGTTCTCGACCTTATTCCTACGTATTATGAGAATTTTTAACATGACATTATTTTGAATTTCATTTTTCATGGCACTTTGCATTTGTTCTTAATGCCTTGGATGAAACTTGACTTGATTTGGAAAGATGTTGTTATAAGTCTAAATGACAAGTAAGCTACAAGAAATGGTGATGTATTACCTTTTAAAAGGTCTTTAGTAATCAACTCTGTATCAACTATTTGCTTTTAATCTTACCCTATTTAGAGGATGAATAAAAGATAGCTTCTATGCCAGTCTAAAAGTAAACACATTAAAATTTCCTAATCAAGATAAATTTGGATACTATTAGGAATGTGGACCATATAAACAATTAAAAAATGTATACTCCAAATTCATCACTCTATTTTTGAATGTCTTGGACTGAACATGTAGCTTAATTCTATTTCTCACAATTTTCCCAATATATCCCAGTCTCCTTTAAATGTAGATTAAAAATTATTTATTCTTCATGTACATGAAGCAACTAATTATTAATTAGATTATTGGTAAATGCCATGGAGAAAAAGTACCAGGGTGCTGAGATGGGGGACCTAGCTTAGTCACAGGATTCGGCAAATGGGGTAAGACTATTCCTTGACATGGTAATTAAGATAACAATGATATATTTTAAGAGAAAAATGTTGATCATCTTTTTTCTTCAAGTCTCCAGAATTTTGAGCCTTGAATCAGTGGATATAATAAAGCTTTTTTTTTTTCAAAATTCCAAATGGACTCGTAAGACAAGTCACAGGAGTTGGATAATATTTTGTAGTCACCCCAACTCCCTGTCTTTCTAGGTTGCAGGTTTGCTGGTGCTGAATTATAGCAATGACTATCACCACTGGCTGGCTACCAAGAGTCTTGGGCAGTGGCTACAGGAAGAAAAGGTGAGAAATATGCAGGCTGACCTGTCTGGACCAATTCTCTTCTAAACACCGAGGGCCACATATTTTTAGTTTAATCTGTTAGGTGGCACTCACACAGGCTTGGTAGCATTTCTCTTTGGGGAAAAGACCTAAAGAACATCTTAGAATTTTTTATTTTCTTGAACCACTTAATTTTCCCATCCCCTTATATCCACGATTGTGATATGTAACTTGAGTCATGGGTTCACGGACCAGCTTTATCATTAACTAGCTGTGTGATTTTGTGCAGATCATGTAATCATACCATATTTTCTAAATCTTTAACTTTTATGAGGATAAACAGATTGCAATTAAGTTTCTTTTGGTTTAAACATTATGACTCTATGACACATAATTAGATATAATCTTATTTGAAGTAGTAATTGAAGGGGGTTATAAACCTTATCTTATACTTTCCTTAGTTTAAGTATTATTTTTCTAATCAAATAAGAAGATTCCTTTAGTTTGAATGTCAGACGTACTTTAAGTTAAGGGACCTGCTATATTTGGCTTAATCTCCAGTGTTGCTGGTGTTTTCTGTTGCTGCAGAGCCTCTAACTGACAGAATATTATTCTAAGAAAGCTCTGCCACACCAATGAGCATCTACCTATTGGGGCTAAATGTTGCTCCTTTCTGACAAATCCAGAAATCTTGATTTTGGCTTCCTGGGTTTCATACTTTCTAAATTTTAAAGGGAAGAAGAAGGTATCTAGATCATCTCCTGAATCATTACTATTTCATTCTCAACTATTATCCAAATTTACCTCCATTACCTAGACAGCTAATTTTTGTAATGGTCATTTAGGAGACCTTCACTTTAATGTTTCCTTTGTGTCACTAGGCAACGGGTATTACTGCTGCTCTGTGTCAGAACCAATGATCTGAGTATAAACTTAATCCATGACTTGTTAGTTTGTTTTTGAAATGTGCTTTGAATTTTCTTTCATGATCACAGACACGTAGAGTAGAATAGGGTCTAAGATAGGGGCCTCTGGGGTGGCTCAATTGGTTAAACATCTGCCTTCATCTGAGGTCATGACCCCAGGGTCCTAGGATTAAGTCCCACGTCAGGCTCCATGCTCAGCAGGGAGTCTGCTTCTCCCTCTGTCCCTCCCCCCACTCATTCTCTCAATCTCTTTCTCTCTCTCTCTCAGTCTCTCTCAAATAAATACATAAAATCTTTAAAAAAAAAAGAGGGTCTAAGATAGTAACGAGTTCACCTCCTTCTGTGTACAGGTGAGGTAAGACTCCTTGCTCAAACATCACTCAGATAAATGGTAGAAAAAAGAAATTAGAACCTGTTTTGCTGCTTCCTAACTCATTGTCCTTTTATTTTACCACATCTGTCTCTATCCAAACTACTCAGAGAAAGGAAAACAAATGGTGGTATTGCCTGATTTCCTAATCAGATGGGCAAATCTTATCACAGCCTGACTACTTAAGAAGCATCCTCAGAAAAATGTGTTGAGTGTCTAGTAGGTAGCCAGAACATTTAGCTCAAAGTGTGGATTTGCATATTATTTACATACCATTGCTTACGAAATTCACAAATTCCATTATTTACATATATAAAAATACATGTAATGTATATAAATATGTAACATTACGTATTTAACATCCTGTGTAAAAAGAAACAAAACTGTAGCAGAAGATTGATGTTCAGAATTTCTCATCTTTTATTCTAAGGCAGGGCCTGGGTATTAAAAGTCCTGTTCCCAACTGGAAGAGCAATTTACTGTGTTCTGACAACGCAGTCACCCTGGGTCAGAGAAAAGAAGGAGTAGGGAAATTATTTACTGCTCAAGAAGATAGATGATGCTAAGTTTATAACTTGAAAACAATATGCTGGATCTAATTTCCTCCAATTTCACTGTCACAACAAATTCTTTTCCTTATAGGTCCCTGCAATTTATGGAGTGGATACAAGAATGCTGACCAAAATAATTCGGGATAAGGTATGAGCATCATCTTTAGCCAACTCTGTTTCTCTCTCCCTCCCTCCCCCTTTCCCTCCTTCCCTCTTTCTCTCTCTCTCTCTGTATATATATATACTATACTCCCTATAAATTAAAAAATATAATATATATTCAATTTTTTCTCAGTGCTTGAGGAATCCAACCATATGTGAAAGAACAAATCTGACCAATTTCTGTCATTTGGACCTCTGTCATCTTGTTTTACTATTTCTGATGTAATTTTCAAGACTGAGTACTCGATTGGGATGTTTGTTGCTGAATGGACTTGAGATTAATTCACTTGGCAGCAGATTATTGAGTGCCCACTGTTTGTTCCCTCTACCAGCGAGTCCTGACAGGGTTAGTGAGACCGGTGGAGAAGGTAACCAGGTGCATAACAATTTTGCCTTAATTGACTACTCATCTGCTGAAAGAGGCAAACCAGGAAGTGTGCAGCACTGGTGCTGTTATTTGTTTAGTCTTCTTGAAGGGGTTATTTGTGAAATTAATGAGTTGTATTTCATGGGTGTGTCTAATGAGCCCTGCATACGTTACGTCAGTTATATAGTCTTTCTTGAGACTGTACCAATGACCAAGGTGATAAAAGATAAGTTTATCTTTTGCTTGCATATCTGATTGCTGAACCGTCTGACCTCTCCTTTTAAGATTGTCTCAGCCGTCTGCTTGCTTCTCTTCTGGTTGTAAGTGGAAGGCACTATTATTTTTTTTTCCTATACAAAACCTTCTTATTCTAGACCAGAAAGAAACTTTACCTCACTAATGTTAACTAAATTCCCCAAGTGACACTAAAGTTTTGCACTGAATTATATTACATAAAAAAAGGATGGGGTACCTGGGTGGCTCATTGTGTTGGTTAAGCATGTGCCTTCGGCTCCTGTCATGACCCCGGGGGAAATTCCTGCTCAGCAGGAAGTCTGCTTCTCCCTCTGCCCCTCCCCCACTCAGGCTCTCTCCTTGTTTCTCAAATAAATCAAATCTTTTTTTTTTTAAAAAGGAAAAAAAGAAATGATACACTTTCCAAAGTGAAATAGACTCTTCAAGAAAATCTGCTGTAGACTCCTTGTTAGAATGTATATTGACATAGGATCTCTGCAAACAGAGCAGCTTTCTGAAGAGAACTTTTTTTGAAAGTGAGGCACGGCCACACACCCATGACCAGAAGGAAGACAGAGTTTACACAGTCCTTCCACTCTACTTCTGATTTTATTTCCTCCTCCATCATTTTCCTGAGAATAGATGTTAATGAGAATGACGTGCTGGTACTTTCTACCCTCACTCATTCCCACGTGACTACTTTCCCTAAGGAATACATTTCAGAAGGAAACAAAGGCTTCTTTCTCTTTCCTTCAATGCAGGGATTTCCTTGGAGAAAGGCAAATCAATGAGTTTATCTTGACCCCCCCCACCCACAAAGTCTTGGTTACTAAATGTGATTTGCTATTTTTGGAAATAGATAAAGCTAGACTTACTAACAAGACATAGCTAATAATAAGAAAACATTTGCCATGTTCAGGCTAGCAAGGCTAATTTGTGAAAACTTTACAGAGGTCTAAACATTTTTTAAAGTTCAGGGCCTTAGGGACAGCTGGACATTAACAAATCCAAAGCAGTGAACATTTTCAATGCTACTTCTCAAAGGCTCTGACTTATATAGCATTTCACATCATTTTGTAAATGAATTTTACTATCATAATGTAATTAATTCTCCTTCTTTTCAGTTTTCTGCAATTTTTAGATTTCTTATTTTCTTCTCAAAAGATTGTTTTGTCCATATCTCCACTGAACTATCTTTAGGTCATATGCACTAAGGGAATAGGTACCCTAAATGCTCTAATTTGCACCAGCCTGGAACTTGGAAACTTGAATTCTGATGCCTTTTTGAATTGCTTATTCCAGGTGCCAGTCTCAGCCCTAAAAAAAAAAAAAAAAAAAAATGAATTGTACTTCCCAGGGTGTTTCTTAGACTGTACCATGCAAATTCAAATTATTTCATCTTTCCAGATTAAGATGAGGAACTTCTGCTGATGGTTATAAGTAGTTATAAAGACATTGAGATCTTGGAGCAGCCGTTTAAGTCCCTGTGAATGGATCCTGTCAGCACCTTGACTATTGCTACCTTTTAACTGTCTAATTTTTTTCTTTGATAGGGTACCATGCTTGGGAAGATTGAATTTGAAGGTCAGTCTGTGGATTTCGTGGATCCAAATAAGCAGAATTTGATTGCTGAGGTTTCAACCAAGGTGAGAGATTTCCCTTCACATTTTGTAGTTTTATTTTTTATAATACCAAAATCTTCACGTAGGCCGAGATCATCATCCTGAAATACCAGAGTTGAGGGGAAAAAAAGATCTCATAGCTGCTAAAATATATATTACAAATCAGTGCCTTTAAAGTTAGTAACTTCTACTTGCTGCAATCCATCATCAATCAGAATGACGATGGAGAACAACATTTCATGAAGAATTCCAGCTGTGAGAACTTTGGGGCACCAGGGCCTTTCCTTAAGAAAATGTTATTAAAAGTCAGAAAATTGCCTAATAGCATGTCAGCCTCAGAGAAAACACACGTTGATATTATCTGGTATTCCTATTCCTATACCTATTCATATGGAAATGAGTACCAGGATGATGGGGCCCTGATGATCAGTACTGACCTTGAATGCTGATGCAGGACACAGCATGCGTTCACAGGATGTTGAAGCATAAGAAATAGGAGTTGTTAAAGACAGTGAATGTTAAATTAGATATGTAATTGCTTGTATATTTTGAATCTGATCATGCCATATGCAATATTCCCTTGTTTTTAATTCTAAAATTTGTCCATTCAAATGGCATGGAACTATTTTAAATCCTGTAGTTGTTTCTAGACATTCCCCTGTGAAGTGATTCATTTGAGACACAGCATGAAAAAAGGCTATTTTTCCTTTTAGAATTGAGAACTACCTTGGGGGCTTAGTGCAGCATTTTACACATGTGAGGAACATTGACCTAGAGAAATTCACCTTAAAAGGAATTCTGTGGTAATAAGGTTGAAAACAGTGCATAATACATTTCCTCTCTTCAAGAGTCATAATGCAAATTCATATGTTCACGTGTCTGTGAGGTTGTGCTTAAAATTGCTGTCATTCTCTATGGAGAGTATAAAATGTATTTCTGTAGAGACCAGCAAAAAGGAGGCTGTCTGTATTTTTATCTACATCAAATCAAGAGAGAGATTGCAATAGTGAAAACTGACCCTGTTTCTTAATGCTAGCACAATTAAATAATTTCGTTGTAGCTGTGATAAAATGCATATTTGTATCAGATTATATTTATTCTGTGAGTTTTGTTTGGATATGGTTGATAACTTAATTCATTGTCTTATAATTGCAATTTGATGTAGCTACAACTAGATGGTAATGTTGCTTTATTTTATAGGAGAAGCCTAAGGTTAAAAATAAATCTGTACTTTTTCAAATTATCTGATGAAATTATCTGTAGCATTTATGGATCAGCTCAGCAGTAATTTCCCCAGATCATGGAAGGAATGGGGCACTTTTTCTCTAGAATAGTTAGCAGGAAAAAAAAATGTGACAAACTTTACATATATATTTTTTTCAAGTATAGTCTAAGGATTATGATTTCGCATTCTATAGAGTTTGTGGAGAGTGGAGAATAGATGTTTCACTTAAAGTAAAATGCTCTTTCAAATATCCAGGTTGCAACTTTCATCTAAAACCTTTTGGAAACATTGAAATCATCCTAAATTCAGAATATACTAGGTAACTCTCAAAGCTGTAATCAGTGTGGGCACCCAGGCTTCTAGGCTTTCTCTCCGTTTCTATTATTTCTCCTTTTATGACTTTGGGAAACTGCTTCCTGGGTAAATGCCTGTGAAAATGGATCTGACTCCAAGCAGTGCTTAAGATGTAGGTAATGATTATGATATGCTCGGGGATCCTTTTATGAAGTCTACCATTTAAATGCAAATGATTGCAAAATAACCTAGAGTCCAGTGGTCTACACTAGCTTAGCAATCCTCTGACTCTCACACTGATTTTACCCATTAGCCCCACTGCAGAAGCCTAATGCACAACAGCTCTGCCCCATCCAAACTTTATTGCAAATTGAGGATCAAGCAGTATTTAAAGCATGATGTATCTATTACCACATCTGCCTAGTGCTGAATCAGGCAATAATACTTGAAAATTCCATTGCCACTGGTTGTTAATGAGGCAAAACATGGGAGAGATTATTGTTAACTATGGAAGCAACCAATTTCTAAGGGATCATTGTTATTACTGTAATCAACATTTTATATAAAACAGCAAAGTACTCTTTCCCTCATAAAAAAGATAAAGTTTGTGGCACTCGCTGTGCCTTATAAATTGATTGTTAACTGCCAGTCACTCCCTAGTAGTTAGCAATCAATCCGTCACCAATATAAGTGCAAAGCATCCTCAGACGTATTTATGATACTGGGATGTTGCTCAAGGCTGGTACTTCCCTCTCACTCTCTGCTTGTTAAAATGGCAGGATGTCAAGGTGTATGGCAAAGGAAACCCCACGAAAGTGGTAGCCGTAGACTGCGGGATTAAAAACAATGTAATTCGCCTACTGGTAAAGGTAAGTAATTTGTTACATCTCAAGGGTGAGGATTTGTAATATTGATCTTAGTGTTAAACTGATTTCCTTTCTCTGTTTCAGAGAAAACTTGTGCATTCCCTTTGGAAAGTCAGGGGATCCGCTCTCTTCTTCCTCTTGTCTTTGATCTACAAAATAACATTTGTATCCCTGTTAAAATTAGACATGTAGACTATGTTTTAAAAAAATCTTCAGAAGCCACAGACACAGAGAAGAATGATGGCTGTTCTTACCACGTATTGACTGACATTCTGAGATATGCCATGTTTACTTTCTTTGGATTTAGAGATGACCAAAAATTTGGAATCAGTTGGAGAACTCCTCCATTGGACTACATTTATTATGTGCCAAATGTTTGTAGGGATCATGCCCTGATACAGTACAAACTTTCACATTCCTTTATATAAACTCTTAGAAACCAATTAAGATTAAACCTTAAAAGTCCTTCAGGAGAATATCACCATTATTATAGTGTTTTCTTAAATACTGTTTTGTTGGGATTTCTCCTCCTCCCAGCTCTCCATCTCTCTCCCTGTTTGTGTCTCTCTGTTTCTGCTGACACTGCCTCAGAGGTCACAGATTTTTTTCTGTTTCTGTCTCTCTCTCTCTCTATCTCAAACATGAATGCACACATGCACGCACGCACACAGACATTTGCATAACATCAAAATAATGTGAGTATAGAGGAATTCTTCAATTTACCTTCTCTTTATTAGAGAATATCAGTGATAGCCAAATCATGATTTCAAATTCTGGTCAATTTATTAATAAAAATTTGCATTTGACTCTTCAGTAGCAGATGCTGTCAATGTCCTGTGTATATCTCTTTCTCATTTTACCGTTATAAGGCATTTTGCCCATCCTCCAATTGCAAATGCCCGCACTTCATTGCTTGAGGGCTTTCTTTAGATGGTTGGAGCCTGGTGGTAGGAAGGAAATACCACAGAATTAATGATCCCTGAAACAGCTCCAACCCAATGACTAGAGAAGGTCAGTGGGTAAATATCTCAACTCCTTTGCCCCATGACTGAGTTATCTTGAGGGTGGATAGTCTACACTGGCTCTCAGAGTTTGCCAGTGGGCTGAAACTCCAGTTGTCCATAGTGCTTGGTAATGCATACTTTATTGGGGTGCCTCACAGTGTGGCTTTCTATTGGTACTTTTTAGAAACCCTTCCAAATAGACTTCTTTCCCTCAAATCTTTGTCTCAGGAAATGCTTCTAGGGAAACCATCAAGGATATCTTCCTATCCGCTTCTATATACAAAAGTTCTAATTATCCTATCAGAATATAGATTCTACAGATAGTCTGAGAAAACCCTAGGAAAGAAGGCTGATGAAAATTTAGTCAGATTTAAAAAAAGCAAAACTGAAAAAGGTGAGAGGAGGACCAACTTAAATTTCACAGAAAATGGATTTATCTTTTTTTTTTTGGTCACTCTCTATACCACAGCTAGTGAAAATAACCTATATTCTCTGGGTGCCTGGTCAGGAATTCTTTAGGCTCTGAAACCTCCTGAAATACGGGAAAGTGTGTTATCTATTTTTTCAGGATCAAAACTTTAATGGTGTTTTTTTCTCCACTTTATATTGACCATCGGCTTCGTATACATCACACAAAATACAGTGAGCCACCAAGGAATTTGTCACTCTGCATTATTTGTTTGAATCATGTATTATTTTTCCCTCCCCTTTAGGGAGTGGTTAGTTAAGAGAAGGTCTAGACAAAGTTACACTTCGGCAAAGAAAAATGTTATTGCCTTGATCATTTTTGCTTTTTTTTCCAGCGAGGAGCTGAAGTGCATTTAGTTCCCTGGAATCATGATTTCACCAAGATGGAGTATGATGGGCTTTTAATTGCTGGAGGACCCGGGAACCCAGCTCTTGCACAACCACTAATCCAGAATGTCAAAAAGGTGCGGTAAACCTGGGGGTAATATGTATCTGAGTGTGAGGTGGAGGGAGTCTGTGCAGCTGAAAAGGCTGTAATCTATGTTAGGGATTGAGATATTCTCTAGTGCTCCTATCTGTGACCTCTGAGGCAGTGTCAGCAGATATTATATGGGAGGAACCAGTGAGGAGAAAGTCCCAGAGGAAAAAGAACCTTTCTTCAGGCAGAATAACTGGGATCGTGTCCTCCAGTTAAGAGAGCTAGAGTCCAATCTCAAAATGTGTCTTTGTATACAATTGTAAAATGACAATGCATGTTTCTCACCATGACCTCAGGAGCTGTAACACCTTCGAGTTTCTGAAGAAATATTAAGTTTTGTTTAGTTTGAATATTAAGTACATTTTTTTGAATTCTAATGCTACACATTTGTCAATCATATTCTTATTTATAGTCTAGCTTTTTATTCAATTACTATTCTCTTTACTTTGTGAATTAAGAAAAAAAAGGATGTTTCATTTTTATTCCTCTAGAGGGAGCATCTTTTTTTTTTTTCTTTTTTTGAAACGGTACTTCTGGTTAATAAAAATTCTCCCTCATTTAGGTTTTGGAGAGTGATCGCAAGGAGCCATTGTTTGGAATCAGTACAGGAAATTTAATAACAGGGCTGGCTGCTGGTGCCAAAACCTACAAGATGTCCATGCCCAATAGGTATGACCAACAGGTTTGACCAAGAGGTCAAACTGGCTCTGAAATATGGTTAATAACTAAACACAAAAGCCTTAGGGAACTTACATGCCATTTTCTTCAGAAAAAACAGATAAATGTACTATTACATGGTTCACAGTTGTCTGACTACCTGATACCACTTTTATTGCATTTTTGAAAGGCAGCCTTCTCTAACAATAATGTTGCTACTGTTTAAGGTTATTTTCCTTCCCTTGGCATAAATCAAGGTTCTTATGCTCCATCAAATGATATTCCAAAGGAAACTGTTCTGGTTTCCAAGCTTGATATCGGAGCACTGATAATGTTGTAAGACTCTAGTGTGACTTCAGAACCAGGAAGTCCTCAGATCCTCTCCGTTTTGCTTCCTTACCCCACATGAGACCAGTTTATTCAACGTGGTGCTTTCCCCCATGGCCCACCCTCCTCACAAAGTGTAATTCAAAATGATTTAGGACAGAGTAGTCATCTCTTTATCATTTCCCAAAAACTCCTCTGGCTTTAAAATTACTTATCTCCCTTAACATAAATCGCTTGTATTTGTCTCTCTGTTAAGCTTGTGAGCAACTCTCTTAACTTTTTGTTATGAGCACAGGTCTCCCTTTTCACTGATTGTAGAAGTTTAATGGAGCCGGTATTTAACATACAGCAAAGCTTCCTGAATTGATTTTTGTTGCTAAAATTATTGGGATTAACAATCTGTGACTTTTCTCCCAGAGTAATTTCCACTAAGCAATTGAAACTTTCACATTTTAATAGGTTTTTCTCATTCACTATTTTACAACAAATGCGTTTATATTCTTCTCTCCACTTTTCCTCTTCCCTATTCTTTTTCTCCTTTTCTCTCCAGAGGGCAGAATCAGCCTGTTTTGAATATCACAAACAGACAGGCTTTCATTACTGCTCAGAATCATGGCTATGCCCTGGACAACACCCTTCCTGCTGGCTGGAAACCACTTTTTGTGAATGTCAACGATCAAACCAACGAGGTAAGTGCTCTCAGTAAACCTGTTCAGTTGGCAATGAGTAATGCAGGGCCTTTCATATTCTGTTATCCAGACACCTTGTTTGTGTGGGTTTTTTGGTGTGTGTGTGTGTAAGTACTCTTTTTATAGGTTATTTCCCATAGCCCTCTGCTTTTTTTAAAAAGTCATTTTCTGTCTTATTCTCTCATCAGTTGGCTCATTGAGATCCACTCGTTGAGTGGTTAATCAGTGACCGTCTTCCCCATTCATTGCTAGTGGGCGATTGGTGGAGATCTGGTTGGGCCTCCTCTGTGTGGGTCTCTGAGACTCACTTGGCTCTGAAGTAGCCTTTAAGAAGAATCTTGGAGAAGTAATTTAGGAGTTGGGGATAAGAAGAGGATTTGAATTTATTCTGAACAGCCCCTGGGAAGGGGGTGCCCAAAGACTATAGACCAAATCAATTGTTTTTATTGAGGGAACCACATTTGTGTTGAGTCCTTGTTGGCCTATTTTTATTATGACTGTTAGCTGTTAGAATGTCCTTAAGTATTTAACTCAGTTTTTTTGAAATTTGAACTTTATTGTGCACTGAATAATACATAGCGCTGGTTGACAGTCATTGTTACAGAAGGAATTTCTTCCTATTTCTTGTTCTTTCAGGGGATTATGCATGAGAGCAAACCCTTCTTCGGCGTACAGTTCCACCCAGAGGTCAACCCGGGCCCCACAGACACTGAGGTATGTCAGGAAATGAGGCTTATTGTACACTTAATTTTTCTTTTTAATCAGAAATGTATTTACATGAAAACTTGAGAAACAAACATCATCAACCCAGATGATCTTGGGTACAGAATATTTTTCAAGAAGAGTGCTTTGATGACACACGTATATTGCATTAAGATTTCCCCCATGAATATCATGGAGGAAATTTCTGTCTTTTTTAAAATTTTTAAAGTGGTAAAGCCCTGAAGAAACCTGACGTGATGTTATTTTTATTTAAGTCGTTATCATTCTAATATATTTAGTTCTGAAATTTACAGTTGTTGTACTATGCAAATGAATTCCCTCTTGCTCTCTTGTTCTCATAACTGAAATGAAATTTTAATCCCCCATCTGTGACTTCACAAAAATCCCTATGGCAACTGGTTGTGTAGCCAGGAAGAGAGAATAAACAGCAGCAGGAGAAGGAAGAAGGACCGGGGTATGCGGGAGGGGAGAGGGCATGCACGCACATATTAAATGAGTCAGCTGGCTTAAGAAAAGAACCAGAAGCAATGCTTAGAGGAGTTTTGTTTGTAATTTAAATACTTTTATTTTGTGTGTGTGAGCTTTGGTTCAGTGTTCAAGGTCACCTTTTCAAACGAGAGCTTGTGGTGACACAGAAAATTCTGGAAAGTCTGGTGTGACTTCCTCTCCCCCACCCTATGGCCTCCGGTAGTAATACAGACAGCTCCTCCCCATCAGCAGATACTCTCAGAAAACACACCTAGGTAAAATGAGGAGAATCAGAATTTTCCCTCTGTAAACTCTACTTTCTCATCCCTGAATTGCCTTTTCAGATATATATGTTTTGTTCATTTTTTAAAATGTTTTTGGGAAATGATTCTAAATAGCCCAAATCAGTATGATATTATCAACCCATGATGAAATGCATAAAGAAAATTTGGTTACATACATCTGTTGCCTAATGCATGCTGAATACTATTTTTTTTTATTTAAAATTTAAATATTTTGCCCATAGTAATACTTCAGATTAGGAACACTGAAATTAAGACCTGTGGTATTGAGTAGCGCTTAATCATTTTTCTGTCCTGCCAGATAGTTGCAAAATGAGTATCTGTTGAAATTTGTCATGTCTAGTGAAACTATAGAAGTAAATTCATTGGTAAAGTTTAAGAATAAGCTTTGGAGATATTTTTAGAGCTGATAGAAATTTTCAAAATCCAGTTATTTCTAACTTTAGGATGTATAAGTAATAGAGCTTTAATTTCTTTTGTATAACTAGAGTTTTATTTAGAAGAAACCATTTAGAAGAAAATAACTCATAATTAAGGGGATGAAAGCTTGACATTCTCAGAAGGCGTGATCTGAAATCTTCATTGTCTGCTGAAAACTTGCCTTTGATAGGATTTGAAATGAACAATTAGAAATGTTTATTTGATCTAATTCTTACAGTAGTAAATATTTAGTTTTGCCAATTTTGGCAGAAAAGCAAAAAACAAATATTGCATATGAATACTTATCCTAAAAAATTATTTGTTGCTTATTTGAAGTTCAAATTTAACTGGGCATGTGTATTTTATCTAGCAACCTTATGATTTTTGCGACTTATAACTAGTTGGTTCTATTTTTTTCTAGTACCTATTTGATTCTTTTTTCTCACTGATAAAGAAAGGGAAAGGTACCACGATTACATCAGTTCTGCCAAAACCAGCACTAGTTGCAAGTCGAGTTGAGGTCAGTATATGTGGGCTTCTTTCTGGTTTATGTATTTTTGATTTTCTCTATCATGGTAATATTTTTAATGAATGATGTTAACTATTTTAATGTCTGTAAAAGAGGATGGGTAATATTGTAATTACCCATTATTTTAGCATCTAATTATTTGGTCTGTTCTTGCTGGTGTTCATTGGAATTTTCGTGTTTTTGATTTAAAAATCATATCTTTTATAGTTTACTTCTTCTAGAAATTTGTAATAAAATAATTTAATAAAGAATAGGCTTTTAGTTTAGAGTTTGACACATTCTATTACTTAATAAACTATGGTCTTATGTATGCTTGAGATACAGTTCAGATTACAGAATCATTATAGACGATAGAACTTTTTTTGTTTCAACTACAAAAATTATTATTCAACATCGTGAATAGAATAATATGATTTTACCTATAAAGTAGTGCTATAGCACAAACTTGAGTCCTTATTTGTGTAAATGTATAGGTTAACGTGTTAAGGTTTCTACCCATTTTCTTCATAGTTACTCCACATAGATACCCACATCATTATTATATAAAATTTAGAAGAACGTATATGTAGTTTCAAGTATATATATATACATATTGACTCTTTTTATAAATAAAGGAAATTGAATTACATGTTTACATGAAATGATAATTTGAGTTGGAGGATCTGTTTTAAGGATTTCCATGGCAGCCTCTTTTTCTGAGATGGAAAGTTTAGAGGTAATCCACCTACTCAGTGTGGAATCAAACTGTGGGTTCTTGGTAGCATAAGAAGTCATGTGCTTACTGGGTAGTGTTCTTCTCAGAACATCACATTCTTCAGATGCTTTTCTTTTGTTAATGGTGAGAAAAAAGATATAATTTGGGATTCAGCAGTGCCTTTGCATGTAGTAGGCATCCAATAAATATTTGTTGAGGCAAACCAGGTTTCCCAAGTCCTTGTCTTTTGCAGTGACCAGGAATATCTTTCTCCTCTGAAGGGTTTGACACTTTTGGCTAAAAAATAAGCAGAATCATTATCTGCTTGAAATTCTATATACGATTTGTAGAATTTCAGTATATTGCCAAGGCATGAGCTTTTTCTTATTGTATTTTCTGTAAATATTTCTGGCACAAACTGTAAAGGTGAAAATGTGATTATGAAGGTGCACCCATGTCCCCTTGCCTTCTATGTTTTCATTTGTCTGTTATGGAAGACCCAGAGTCTTGTTTTGTCCAGAAGAAAACCATGGAATGTTGAATGTAATACATTTAAATTTTGGGGAGATTCTTACATATATATATATATACACACACACACACATAGATGCATATATTTACATTTATATTTATGTAGTTATATATAGATATTCATGTATCTTTAAATAAAATGTAGACCTCATCTCGAAATATTTACTTAAGTGAAAAAAAACTTCCTGAACTTTGGAAATTGCTTTGAAATTAGAGATGTTTACATTGTTAGTCTTTTTCCTGATGAATAGCAGACCTGTACCCCTGAGACAAATAATACATTATGTTAATTAATTGAATTTAAATTAAAAAAAATTGTGAGTCTTTTTCCTAACATACTTTTCGAAACACTGTACTTTAAATCACCATGTAAACCTAGACAATATAGTTAGACTTCCCGCTCTTGAAATTGCCTTTTTTCCCCATCTTACTCATCAGAGCAATGTCATTTTCTTATTGCTTACAGGTTTCCAAAGTCCTTATCCTAGGATCGGGAGGTCTGTCCATTGGTCAGGCAGGTGAATTTGATTATTCAGGATCACAAGCTGTAAAAGCCATGAAGGTGAGAGATCTTTGTAAGAATTAATATACTCCTTTAATGAGTCTAATTAGTATTTTATAATTTAGATTTATGGCACTACCTCTTTTCAAAGTCACTGTAATTGATTTTATCAACTATTTCTCACACATCTTATATGAAAGAAACTTTGATCACCGGTGAAATTTTTAACTTTCTCAAACTTTTTTGTACACCTGCAAATCAAGAACATAAGAGTGATCTCCAAAATTATCTATGTTACCACCTATTTATACTGAAAACATAAAAAAGCCGTGTTTACGATATTACTCATTTCTTTTGAGGCAGTGAGCATTTAAAATATACTTGTCTTTTGTATGAAAGAGGGAATCTGGGGATTCTTGGTGCTCTAAGATGTCATAAATGTTCCAGAGGATGCTTCAGGCATTTCTGTGGTTGAAATGGCAAGATCAAGTTGAGATAGCAAGGACAACAAATGCCTTTTATCCAGCTTTAGAAGTTGTTACCTGTCACTAGGGGACCCAATTTCCCATCTATGACTTGGATTGGATGACTGACCAGAATGATTTGGCAAATATTCATGTGGAAATGAGGATTTGATATTCATGTTGGGAAGCATACCCTCCCTGTCCCTTCAAAGCCTCTCAAGATCTCCCCAACCCTTTGTCATAGCAAAGCAAACCTTTAGAAACATTTCACTGTATTTATAAAGTATTTCTATGAAAGAGCTAGCTTGGCTTCTTTTTGCTGTCCTTATTTCCTTGTATAGTCCCCATTTTGGTGCTAATCGGCCATCCAGGGGCAATGAGAGCTCTTCTGTGACCCCGCCTCTGGCTTTGCAGTGTAAAGACATTCACCAGAGACCTGGCTAGGAGGAAGCCACACAGAGCAGGTGGCAGGAGACTAGGACAACAAACACAGAAAAACAATTGGCCAGAATATTTTTTTCTTTTTGTTGTATTCATAAGCTATACCCAAAGATTTTCACCTGACAGATGTCTGTTGAAAAAAAAATAGAATGCAGTCCCCAATTATGTTACTCTTCTTCCCATTTGTTTTTACTTTTTAATACTCTTCTCCATACACATGGGTACACACACATATGCACATGTGTTTTTCGTGCACATTTTCAAGGAGTACTTTACTTCATTGTATTATGATTCAATTTCTCTTTATATAATTAGAGGATGTCCAGTGGTTTAGATTGGTTAGAACACAGTATAAGTGTGTTCAGGGTTTGTAAATACATTTAAGTAGCATATGGTTTTCTATCCTATTTGGTAGTTTTATAAAGAATTAATATAGTTTCATAGCTTGCATTTTTTTGTGTGCTTTACATCCATTAGGTGAAGTTACATATTTTAACTGAAGAATAGGAATTATTAGCGATAGTATTGTGATGAATTAGGAAGTTAGTAGAAATGAATTTATGGACTAAATATTTATTTTTTTATTTTTATTTTTTTAAAGATTTTATTTGTTTATTTGACAGAGAGAGATAGTGAGAGAGAGAGAGAGAGAGAGAGCAAGCACAAGCTGGGGGAGTGGCAGGCAGAGGGAGAGGGAGAAGCAGACTCCCCACTGAGCAGGGATCGGGATGCAGGGCTTGATCCCAGGACCCTGGGATCATGACCTGAGCCAAAGGCAGATGCTTAACCAACTGAGCCACCCAGGCACCCCTATGGACTAAATATTTAAAAATAATCAGATGGTGCATGTATTGTAGCCAGAACTATATTAAAAATATATATATATATAATATATATATAAAATATAAATATATATATTTTATAAAATGTATAGTTTGAAATAATTTTAAGTTTTAAAATATATGGACATTCATCACAGTCATTTACCTATATAATTTGATTTACAAAAATAGCTATATTCATTGTATAACACATTCAGGAAAATACTTACAAATATACTTAAGTCTTTTGGTGCTATTCTTTAGTAGTGAGACCTTCTGTAACTTCTATTGATGGCGTGTTCTCAGTTTGGACTTAATTATTTAAATTCCAAGCTATATTTTAAATGCATTTGTTTATCTGTATGTGTTCAAAAATTTCTTAATAATACTTTTTAAAAACCAATTTCTTAAAATCTTGAGAGATGACTCATATTGAGGAAAGGGCATAGAACTTGAATCGTAAGACTTGGATTAGAGTCCTAATTTTGCCATTTGATCAGCTAGAAGATCTTTGGCAAGTCATTTAACCTTATTGAATGTCAATCTTTTCATCTGTGAAGTAGGAATGTCTCTTGTAGTCTTGGTATAAAAATCAAATAAATTGATAAAAGAGTACATTATAAGTTTTAAGGCACTGTTTGAATTTAAAGTAATATGAAATATTTAATATTTTATTCAGATCCTCCCCCAAGGACATATAGGGCTTTCAAGGATGATTTCTATACTCTCATCTGAATTTTTGTTGATGTTTTAGAAGAGTTCAAAATTGGTGTGGTAATAGGTAAACTAATAAGAGCCATATGGCCATATTTTATAATAATTATTTTGCTGTATCGCCCTCATCCTAGTTTATAAAGCTATTATCCTTCATAGCCTACATGAAGAATTATTTTTGAGGTCTCTCCAGATGTCAGAAAAAGATAGAGCTCTGAATACCTTTATACATACGCAGACACACAGACTTTTTTATTTTATTTTTTTGCCATATGGTCATTTTCTTTTACTATAGTATGTATCAAGAGTTGTATGATGCTCTTTGTTAAAACACTATTGCAGGCATGAAAATCTAAAAAGGTGGAATCCAGCAGAAGGCTCTCAGTGCTTCCAGCAAGGGAATACATCATCTTGCATTTTAAATGTGCCCTCCATGTTGGTCTCTGACAAACATCGGAAAGGGAAGCTTCTTTGATGTTGTCTCTGGTTCCATTTTATATTTTACTAATTTTTAAAATATTAATTTAAAAATAATTAATTTAAAATATTTTAGTCTTTTACAGTCAGTAGAGCTATAAAGTTCAGTAGTATTCATAGACCTCTAGTCAAATTCTATAGAAATTAACTCCAGTTTTGCTTGATACCTCTAGCAAGGAATTCAGGGTGAACCTCATGAGGCAACCAGTTCTTTTTGAATAGTTTTATTTTCAAGCAATTTTTTCCTTCCTCTCACTAAATGTTCCTCTACCCTCCATCCCATTCACCAGCCCTATTACTGATCTCTACAGCCCACAAAATAACCTAAAATTTTTATCACCCAATACAGACCCTTCATTTGAATATGGTCATTCTTTCCTTTAGACCGTATGTTCAAATTCTCGATCCTTTTGTTTCTTTCAGGAAGAAAATGTCAAAACTGTCCTGATGAACCCAAATATTGCATCAGTGCAAACCAACGAGGTGGGCTTAAAGCAAGCAGATACTGTCTACTTTCTCCCCATCACCCCTCAGTTTGTCACTGAGGTCATCAAGGCGGAACGGCCAGATGGGTTAATTCTAGGCATGGGTGGCCAGACAGCTCTGAACTGTGGTGAGTTCTTTTAAGTTTAATTGCAGAGTTTTGGCCCATGCATTTATGTGTAATATTTTTTGTTTGACTCTATCTAACAATTATGCTCTATGTGTTCATAAAAGCTTTTCTTTAATATGTGAGGAAGCAGTTAGCAAACAGCCACCTGAAAATGTCATATGATAAATATTACTGGTTTATTTCACAAAACAGCTGAGGCGCAAAAAGAAACCTTTTACTTTAATGCTCTGGGGTGGCCAAGTGAGATCTCCCTGCTCCATTTCAGCATATTGCTTTTCTCTGTTACCAGTGAGACCCTGAGAAATATTATGAATAAAAAATGAGATTTAACATTGATTAAATGCTTCGTGCTCTTACATGTTGGCCCGGTAGCATTTGGCTTTCACATATATTTTCATGATAACATAGATCAGTCTCTCTACCATCCCTTCATGCATCTGCTGAGCCCAATACTCTGTCCTTTTTACAAGCCTTCAAATCTATGGAACTAGATCATGAATGAGAATCTCATGAGATAGTCAGGGTAAGCAGTTGGCGAAGTAATTTATATGTCACATATAAAAGTCTTAGCCAAGGTCAGATGGCATGTTAAATGGAAACATTATTTTGATGATTTTTAACCCAGATAGATACCCACATCACTGGGATTATTTAAATAAGAGAATCTCATTATAAGATTGGACCTTAGAAGGAAAGGGAATATACTAAAATCTAGAGGTTCACTGTATCTTATGATTTTTATTAATGAGGATAATAAAAACCGTTTGGAGAAGGTGGTAATATAAGTAATGTCACTAGCAATGTATTTTGCTAGAATGTCTTCAGAATTTCTCTTTCAAATTTTTCTTTCTTTTTTTCTTTATCTTAAGTACAATTCTATTGTAGACTGTGATGGCTTCTTGGAGTTAATTTTAAGGTTCAAAAAAGTTGTATTTCAGGTATGTGTTTAAAAAGACATAAAAGTTTGAGATTTTAAAGACTGATTATATTTGGTTCTTCTGTAGGAGTGGAACTATTCAAGAGAGGTATACTCAAGGAGTATGGTGTGAAAGTCCTAGGGACCTCAGTTGAATCCATTATGGCCACAGAAGATAGGCAGCTATTCTCAGACAAACTGAATGAAATTAATGAAAAGATTGCTCCAAGCTTTGCAGTGGAATCGGTAAGGAATCTTTGTTCTGGAGAAACAAGGTCATTATTTTGTCTTATGTTATAGGGAGAGTGATTTGTCATGAATAAAAATAATAGTTAAATTATTATATTTGCATGTATTATCTTCCAGAAATGTGTTAGTACCTCAGAGACTTTGTTTATGCTGAAATGTTTGGGATACGTATTAATATTTTATGAAAAGGGAAGCAAAAGCCCAGAGACAAAGTGGTTTATCAATGGATGAAGTGCCACTGAATATCAAATCTCCTGAATTAAAACAAAGAACCATGTCAACCTACAATGCCAAAGTGATTTTTACTTTCTGGGATCAGTTACGTATCCTGTGTGTGCAAATGACCTGCAAATGGGGAATGATGGGATTGAAATTTTCTTGTTAGAATGGAATAAACATCTAAAAATGAAATCACCTAGTAAAAGCCATTGCATCTAATCAGTGAGATTCATGACTGAGAAACTTGTGGCTTAGATGTTTAGAGAGGAAAGATTATTTCTCCTTTTTGTTAATCATTTTCAACTGTAGCCTGTGCCTATTGATAGGCTATTACAAGGCACCAAGATAAAGTTGGCTTGCTATATATCTGTTTTTGTCCCTGACTTTATTCTTGATTTTAGACATGCAGTCAATGAAGTGGGGGTTCTGGAGGCAGTTTTTGATGCAACTTTCCCATTGCAAAAGTAGGCAAATCCTAGGGAAAAGGGCAAGTACTGCTGGGACAAGTAAAATGGGCCATGTACGTTTTAGAAAAGAATGCTACCAAGTACATACTATGTTGTAGAGCTGTCAGTCAGGAATAGTCCCAGGATAGCTCTGCTGAACATTTGGAAAGCTCCTGCCATACATTTATTCTTTCATTGCCAGATTTAATTATGTCCTTGCTTCCTCAGGATGAGAAACAGGCATATGGGAAAGGTGTAATTACATTCCCATTGGTAGTGTAATAATATTCCATGACAGAAAAATATAGCCACCATATGTTGTATTCTGTAAGGTAAAAAAAAAAAAAAAAAAAAAAAAAAAAAAAAAATTTTTTATTTTAAAAGAAAAAAAAAAAAAAAAAAAAAAAAAAAAAATCCAAGCTTTTGAGACTACTCTCTGACTGAACTTGAAAAATGAAAACTCTCTTTCTATACAGTATTCCTAATGGCCTATTGCAGTAATATCAAGTTCATTTCAGCAGTAGAAAACCTTGTATCATTAAGAGATGAAGACTTTTAAACTGAATTTAAAAATTCAATATGGCTCCCATTCTCAAATTCATAATGATTATTTCAGTTTGGGCCATTGTTTCATTTTTTTTTTATATGGCAGAATGAAATTTACAACAAAAAGATAAGAGAAAGCCTTTACTGTGTATTAAAAAAATCCTACAATTTTACTTAAAATTTGTAAAACAGCACTTGTTTTTCAGAAGGAAATGAAGGAATAATACAGCATTTCTATAGTCATTCTCCCCAAAGAAACTGATTTACCTGATTTGCTATACTCTCTTGGTGTGGTCTTTTCTGTTAGTGTGGTCAGCTTTTAAAACTTTGGGTCTTTCTTGTTGATAGATCGAGGATGCTCTGAAAGCTGCAGACACCATTGGCTACCCAGTGATGATCCGTTCTGCCTATGCCCTGGGTGGGTTAGGCTCAGGCATCTGTCCCACTAAGGAGATCTTACTGGACCTCAGCACAAAAGTATGTATTTTCACAGACCAAATTCTTACCAACCAAGAAAATGGATTTGATATGCCCTTTCAGTTAGAGAAAGTTCTGTATATGAGAAATGACCTTTTCTCTATTATTAAACCACTGTCATGTTTTCTAAAAGTGTTGTCCAAAAGACAGTACCTTTGGAAGGGAAATGCAGTGCAGTTATTTACATTGAAACACAGCATTAACCCAGACGGTACTAGGAAAACTGATGGTCGCTCTGACTAATGGTGATCATTCTAACTGGTGATGGTCACTCCATCTTTATTGTACTATTTGATTTCAGTGGTATAAACTCAATTCAGTTCCATCTCCCTCTGCTTCAAAATCTGCTCCCAAACACCCATCATGCTAAAATATATTTTAGTGATTAGAAAAATGAATATAATATCCCATTTTCTATTATTTTTTGAAATAATATGACATGGATGACATCTAAAGTGAAACAAAACACATTCAATAGATTGGCTTTCCCTCAAATTCAGGTGTTTAAAATATATACAATATAAACCTCTTGGTATAATAAATGAGTGAGCTCTCTGCCAACTGCCACACACTCATACAAGCCAAAGTGAGATTTGAGTGTTCAAATTTTATGTGCTATCAAAATCACTTTAGCATATTATGGAATAGTTCTTTTCTTAAGTATTAAAAAGAAAATTAAGATATGTTCCAAAAAATAAATTAGACATTATCAAAGAAAACATGCTCCATGAAAGCAGAGAATTTTGCCCACGCTCTCTTCTCACCGAATAGAACAATGCCTGGTGAGGTAGGGTCCCAGTAATTGCTGGCTGAATGAATGAATGTGTGTAGAGCTGAGAGGCCCATGTCCCTTACATGGTGGTTGTGGACCTGAATCGGATAGGATTATTATAAGGGCTACTTTGGAGAGTGCTGAGTAAATACCAAGCACAGCTTCTATCTGTCATTACTTACTCTTTAGAGTGAAACAAAATGTGGACCTTGAATTGACATAGGATTTGAGAACAGATAAATAAAATTAAATATATTTAAACATCTATAATGACAAACTTACATGTCAAACTTGGATTTAGTGTTTCTAGAGTTGCTAAAACAAACCCCCCCAAAAAGGAAAATATATCCATAAAAATATTTCTTGTTTCCATTATGGACTTATGAATCATGTATTTAAAGAAAAGACATGTTTATAGAGGTGATTTTTTTTCCCCTCTGGTATATTAGATGTTCCCAATATTTTTAACACTAGTATTCATGTATACTTATTCTCTATTAAAAATATATATTTTTACAGTGTAAAAATTCTGAATACTGAATTGTCTAAAAATGTTTACAATGAAAACAATTTTAAAATGGGATAGTTTTTAATCATTTAAATGCCTTAAGATAATCAATAGGGCATTGAAATTTTTTTGAAAACTAGCTTTTCCCTTGAAGTAATTACTTTTACCACTAATTCCTAAACTACTCCTTATTCTCTTGAGATTATATTTTGCACCTTTAGAAGCTGCATTAACTCATCTTGGTCTCAAAGTTAGTCTTTTGTATAAAATCTGAGACTGGAAAGAAGGAAATTAAGGCAACAGGTGAATTTGATCTCAATTGTTCCTGTGTCCAAACATCCAGCCTAGTCCATTAGAATGCAGAGAGCTTTCCCGGATCCATGCCCTTTGTTTCCCAGATTTCCTCTTTTAGCATGCAATCCTAATAACAAATGAATCATTATTAAATTGTTAATGCTGGCTACAGAGTTTTCTAACCAGTTTGAAAACCTCATCATAGGCAGCTGTGGGGACAAATGTGTTACATTTTCAGTTGCACATGGAGGAGCCTGTAGTGTTCACTGAGATTAAAAAGATAGTGTTAAGACACATTTAAAACACACACACACACACACACACACACACACACACACCACCCAACTAACATTGAGTTATTTCATTATACTGCCTGCTAATAATTTGAAAAAATTCAAAGTTCTTCCCCCAGTTGTTTTCTCTTCCTTTCTTGCTGCCATTGCAAATCAAAAATATTACAAGACAAAGGGAGACATTTCTGTCTTGGATTTTCAGCCACTAAATGTCCTAAAGTCAGAGACTGCCTCTTCCATATTTTGGGTTCAGTATTCTACCCACTGGTGGGTACTCAATAAATATGAAATGATAATTATATACTAATTCATATCTGTTTAATCAGGCATATATGATATATGACTTAGGGTATTTAAGCACTTAGGCGGTGATTAACCATAATAATAGTTGCATATGATTCTTCTAATTCCCAAGTTTCGTATGCCATCTTGGCTAACTGTTTACAACCATTATTATCCTTTCTTCTCCTCATCAACATTAACTGACTTTTATTGTGTATGCCACTGTACAAAGCACTCTCAGCTATTTTAGAGAAAACCAGAGTCTTTAGACTTATATTTCCATATTTATTCACACTTATCACATTTTCTGGTTTTACAGAAGTCTTGCTGCTGAAATAATTCCATTTCCCTCTGCCTGATTGCTCAATTATTTTCTCTTTTTCCTAAATTAGTTTGATTTAATGTCATATCAGCACTTTGAATGGCAAGCCTCAATAATGTAAATCAAGCATATTCACTGCAGGATGCTATTCCTAGTACCTCACTGATTTTCTGACACATTGTGCCTTCTGGAGCATAGAGGAGGATGGAGACTAGGCTTCAGACTTTGATGCTGACCAGGATTTAAGCCAGGGCATTTTGCCCAATATCCATGTTTAAACCAGTGCTTTTCCTTACTCTTTGATATCTTTTGTCACCCATTTCCAGGCCTTTGCTATGACCAACCAGATTCTGGTGGAGAGGTCAGTGACAGGTTGGAAGGAAATAGAATATGAAGTGGTCCGAGACGCTGATGACAATTGTGTCACTGTCTGTAACATGGAAAATGTCGATGCCATGGGTGTTCATACAGGTAGACAAAGAATCTTCAGGAATTATAGTAATGCCTTCAGTTCATGCTTCTGATGACCCCATAGACATCTTTATTAAGTTCTTTTCTTTAAATTACTATTCTTAGCTGATAGACTAGCGACAAAATTTTACACAAAATAGTATTTCATGGTATTGAAAATAACCTCACATTCGTTTTGATCACAAAACCCCTGTGAAGTAAGGCAGGTATTATCCTGACTTCATTTGAGGAAGAGGTCAAATGTAAGCAATGTAGTGATGGTAAAATCTGTAAGAATTGGTGTTGAAAAGTAAGAAATGAAGTTAAGAAGCCTTAAATCAGATGAGGGTATTAGTTACCAAGTGAATGAAAAAACAGCCACAAGTAATAGAAATAGGTGAAATAGGTTTTTTAGGAAGAGAAACTAGTTAGATGAGAGGACACAAATGATGACTTAGAATTTAGAAAGGCTAACTTTGAGGCATGGGTGGAATTCTTAAGAAGAGGGTTGATAATATGGAGCTGGAATTCAAGAAAAGGGCATACAAATAAGGAAGTTGATACAAAGTCATTGGGAGTCATTGATGTGAAGGACGTAACTGAAGCTGGAAGCATAGACTAAGTACTCAAGGGCATAGGCATAGAAAGAAAGACAATAAGGTCAAGGAATGAACTTGGGAACTGCTTAGATTTACAGGGCATGAGTAAGAGGAACGGTTAATGTTGAAGAGAAAGAAGGGAGTGCTAGGAAGAAAGCCAGGATGGTACACAAGTAAGCCAACACAAGAAAATATTTCATAAAAGAGCTTTGGTTTTGGCTTTATCAAATGCCGGGAAAGGTCAAGAATTAGGATTTTAATGTGGGTTTTTGGATGTTCAAGAGGACAGGTTCAATGCAAAGTTGTTTATGGGAGCTATATTGAAAAGAATTAAATGGCAATTGAGGACACACAGAATTGGGAAACTTTCAAGAAGTTTAGTCCTGTAAAGAATAAGAGAGATGTTCTTCTGATTGGCAGTGTAGGGGGTGGGGCTTCTGGAGCCAGGAGAAATCTGAGCATGTTTGTGGGCTGGAGGAATGGTGACTAAAGATTAAGAGATTGAAGATACAAGGGCTATGATTAGAGAGGAGTACGATAATGGGAAGGGATGAGATGAGATGTGGCTGAGCCAGTCGGGGTGAAGAAGAAGTGATCGTTTATAGAAGGGAGAACTTAAGAGAGATTTTGAGATGAAGAGCAGGGAAATTGTAGATTTCTGAAATTGTAGATGACTGAGGTCTTGATAGCTAGATGAACTTGGGAAAGGTTAGCGGGGTTTCTGTCAATAATGTGTCAGAGTAATACAGGCAAAACAAGAATCAGAGTGAGAGTATCTGATGTGCCTTATATGTATTGCCTTGAGACAGTTATTTTTCCAACAAACCCTTAGACTAATCTGTGTCTTGTATCACACAAATAGATTAAGTCGCTTAAGTTAGTTATTTAGATATGCTACCAAATAACAAGTGTTGCTTGGATGTACAGGTGATTCAGTTGTTGTGGCCCCTGCCCAGACTCTCTCCAATGAGGAGTTTCAGATGTTGAGACGTACTTCAATCAATGTTGTTCGCCACCTGGGCATTGTGGGTGAATGCAACATTCAATTTGCCCTTCATCCTACCTCAATGGAATACTGCATCATTGAAGTGAATGCCAGATTGTCCCGAAGTTCCGCCCTGGCCTCAAAGGCCACTGGGTAAGATCAGAGTGATAGACCATGTATTTGCAGATTCTTCTCAGATAGTTTTGGAAAACTGACAGCTAGTGGAAGACTGAGCTGCATTTATAAGCTATAGTCCCCATTTCTGTCTGCTGGCTGCAAATCATTTAGGACCCTTAGGACATGGTTATTAATAAGCTTGCTGCCAGATTGAAGCAAATGATATTGCTAGCTGGCTTTGTTTGCTGGCTAATCATAAACTAATCAAAATCTGGGTGGTCAAAGCAGGCTGCAAAAAATCTGCTTCCTAATTGCACTTTGCAGATATTCTTAAAAAGTGAAAATTAATTCTCAATTTTAGTCCTCAACTGGTTTCTTCAGGTGTATAGTAAATGGTAGGCAAATAGTATAGTTTACTTGATTCAAGCATTCAATAAATTATTTTATTTTAGCAAAACTCCACAGGCCCAAAATTGTAGGGTTTTTCTATAGATAAATATTGCAACCAAATAAATGATTTGCTACCCATTTAAGAATGCCGGCAAACATAAATTGAGGGAACATTAGCACGTTTTTCTATTAATATACTTAGCATATGGCATTTAAATTACATGGCATTTAAGTGAACTAAATAATTACCTGTAAAGTTTTTTTGCTTAATATGGCTCCGCAGTGCTGCATGGAGTGGCAGTGAAGTGTTGCCCTAAGCAAGAGTCAGGAGACCTGAGTTCTCCTTCCAATTCTCCTATTGACTTTGGATATATCACTTACTGTCCCTATCAGTTTCCTCATCTGTCAGATGGGGGAGATGTATTAAAAGAAACATATGTAATTCTACAGTTCTGTGAATTATATTCTCAAATATAATTACCAAAACTATCCAGTTAAGTTCCTAGAATCTTAGTTTTGTAAGTAGTCCCATGTTCAAAAATAATTTGGAGACAAAGCAAGGACCCGAGCTTGCAATGACTACATTTTCTGACCATTGCATACCCCACAATGCCAGCTAACTCCACTGTCTTCCTAGGTGCAGACGTCAATATATCTTTTCAAAAGAATATTTTGCAAATTCTTATCTTAGTGGAGGCTCTAGAAAAGTGGGCACCTTATCAAGAAAGTCATTGATTTTGGATTAAAGAGGTGAAGGTTGGCAGTTGTTGCACTGAATGTCAGGCATAGAGAGTGAATTCTTTCATGATCTGTGTCTCTCTACTTTATCATGACTCACATTATTTTATAAGCAGCTATTAAATCTTCATACAGAACAGAGAACCAGATGTGTTTTATACCCTAATGTGGAATAATACCAGAATTTCTAAGAAAGACCAATTTATGTTTTGGGCTGTTTTTAATGCTCATTGCTGAAAGAAAAAAAAAATATCTCCTCTTTTATAGCTACCCACTGGCATTCATTGCTGCAAAGATTGCCCTAGGAATCCCACTTCCAGAAATCAAGAACGTTGTATCGGGGAAAACATCAGCCTGCTTTGAACCTAGCCTGGATTACATGGTTACCAAGATTCCTCGCTGGGATCTTGATCGTTTTCATGGAACGTCTAGCCGAATCGGTAGCTCTATGAAAAGTGTGGGAGAGGTGAGTCTGTGGTTTATTCCTCTATTTATTCTTGTTCTCAGCTATTTTGTCAAATCCTTAACATCCTTAAAAGTATTCAGGTTGCCTGGATACTGGGTTCTTGATTGGAGGATATATGGGAATTTCATTTCCTCCATGGTGTTTCAACATCTCTCTGAGTATTAATATAAGGTACTTGCTACATGACCCCTTAATGGATCTTAAAAGCTTCTAATTGAAAGGAGAGGCTGTATATGTGGATGTATAATGTATTTGCACATATGCAAAACATATTTTCATAAATAACTGAGTTATAATGTGTTTTATAAACAAATCTAGAAAATAACATGATATAAAATGGTATACCAAAAAGACCACGGCGCTGAGGTTAAGAATATAATTTTAATCTATTCACACAAATTATGGCTTTACCCTCCTTGGACCTCACTTTCTACATGTCTAAAAGAAAAGGGCTGGACTAGAAGATCTCTCATGTCCCATCTAGCTGCAAAGTTTAAAATTGAGAAGAGCACAATGGGATATGAAGCCCTCTTTCATTATATTGAAATGGTCTAAGCTTTTAAGACCTTTAGATATTTCATAATGTCCCTTTTTATATTATTTGAAATTAAAATTAGCTTTTGATTATACCATCTTCAAAGATACAGTGCTCCTCTATACAGGCGGAAAGAAAGGAATTCAGACCCCTGCCTCTGACGGTCACTCTTTTCCCTCCCCCACCAAGGGGTTTATTTCTTCTTGCATCCAGTTGGCTTGGATGAGAGCCAACTAAGTGGAGAGAGCATGAGTCTTTGAACCAAATGAGCTTGGGTTTTACTCTTCGAGTTGCCACTTACTAGTTAGAGACACTCATGCAAGACACTGGTCCTCAGGTTTTCCATCTGAAAACTGGAGATGATAATACCTACCTTGGGAGGTTCTTAAAAGATTTAGGATTAATACATGTAAATCTTTAGTAATGTCTTTTAAGGTAGATTCATAATGAATTTCCAATAAATGTGTTTCATCAGTATTGTTGTCATTGTTTATGGGTAGAATTTTTGATTACCAGCAGTATGCATGAATCTCAATCTCTATCGACCTATTGATCTATCATCTATCTATTTATTTTATCTCATCTCTGTCTCTATATGGCCAACGTAGGAGCTCTTGGTCTATGCCTAGATATCTAAGCTGGTTAGATTACAGGGCAAAGAACTCTTTATGACATATTGTTCTATGTTGGCCTTTATTTATCCTGTGTTACAGATTATAGCTATCCTCAGACTAGCCATTGCAGAAATGCGTACCACCAATCACAGGAAGTTCAGCTTAAATCTATCAGCAATGCAGGAGAAAAGAAAAAAAAAAAAAGACATTTTACTGATCAATCAGATTCATGCATGAAAGGGAGAATTATTACCATTTTGGTTTCCTTAGTTTCCAAGATACTAATGCAAGATTTTAAAGTAATGACAGATAAGGAAAACTTGACCTTTTAAATTAAAATGTCCTACTAGTTGTAAAAAAACCAAAAACAAACAAACAAAAAAAACCGGTAGTCCTTCATAGCTGCTTTAAATCTTATTTTTTCTCTCATGCTTCACGGAGCACAATAGAATTAAAACTCAAATGCCATGGAAAGTTTTGTTGGTAGCTCTCCTGCCAAATAAATAGCTGTTATTTAGTTTATTTTATGGGAAGTATCCTTTTCACATTGCTCACAGTAAAATTTATAGGCCAAAGAAGATGATATAATTTTTGTAATGTGTTCATTTAGGGCTTATTATCTAAGGGACATTTGTTGTCAGTGGGTATTTCCCATCATGCATTTAGTTCAACTCAAGTTAGGAAGCATTTCCGCAGCTTTTACTCCGTGCAAGATGCAGTGAATAAGATGTAAATATTTGTTACATGTTATCTGCAGTTGGTAAGTTGAGAATACAGAAGTAGAACTAAATGTAATATGAATTCAACTGCGGTGAAAGTTAAGATACAGTGTTTACATACAGGTGCTTTGAGAATGGAGAATAGGGTCAGGGAATAGGGTTAGGGTCCTGTCAGTTAGTCCATTGAAAAATGGTGAAATTTTCACTTAATGAAGGTGAATTTTAATCATATAAAATATTAAAAAGCACAAATTTTGAGCAAACACCGTTATGTACTCCCTTATCATTATATAGGTATGTTTGTTTTTCTCTTATTGAACATATTCCATATACCGTTATGTACAGTGTACTTACAAATAATAATTTATGGTGAGTTACTTATAGAACCAGTTACTTTATGGCCAACTTTTAAGTATGTAATACTTGTAAGTTGTTTTAAATATTCCAGAAATATTTTCCTAATTTGATAGAACCATAAAATCTTTCATTTCTGGCAGTCTCTCTCACGCTTTGGCTAGCAAGTCTATGACCATATTGTGTAACCCTTTAAATACCACTATGCCTATCTGAATTGGACTAACATTTTATTCATCTCTGCTCTTGAGAATCTTCCTTACTTCTAATTAAATTGGGGGCAGTGTGAAAGGTTATCTGTTTGGCTTTAGTGATCTTTGAATATGTATCTTGTCACACAATTGACATGAAGGTTTACCAAACTGACATGAATGGGAATCTGGGTCTATTTGAGGAATCACAGAGGTTTACTGAAGGCAGCATTATCACTGTTATTATTTTAAATTGGAGACCCAAAATGCACAGCAATCTATGATTCCGTGGAAAGATTCAAAGACAGTGTTTATCCACTGAAAATAACTGGTTAGGCTTGAAGGCAATTTAAGTTTAGTTCTGACTTGTAACTTGTCCAAATGAAATCACCACATGGTCTTCCTAATTGATTAGTGTACAATCAGCTGTAAAGATTGTGGGAAGACACATCGAATTTGTCATGGGGAATTTAGACTCCACCTACATTCAAAATCTGAATCTGTCAGTATGTGTTATGATTCTGAAGGTTTTATTAATATTAATGCTTCGTTATGAAGAAAGCCAATCTTAGATTGTGACTGATAACCCATTTAGAAATAGTTCTGTTTTTATGTTAATATATGTCTGGCTTCTCTTCATTTGTTTTCTTTTCTAAAGAAAATCTGCGTAAAAGCAAGATTTTATTAAGGAAGGATCTATATGTTCTTTCCACGTATTTCTTAGTTTAATATTATGGTTCAGAGCAGTTGCAGATAATTTCCTCATCAGTCTCAGCAAATAAAGCTACATTCCTGGTGTGGTAAAAGACTGACCTAATATTGTTAAAGGCCCATTATATCAAAACCATGGCGAAAAGGAGAGAGAAAGAAAAATAACCATAACAACACCTAAATTTGGGTAGTATTCTTATATGTTTTGTTCCAACGTCTTTTCTAAAAAACATTCCGTTTCTAGTTCTGTTTCAAATTCAAAATATATAAGCTCTTTTTAAAAAATACAAGTTCTTAAATGTGCATTACAGGTCATGGCTATTGGTCGCACCTTTGAGGAGAGTTTCCAGAAAGCCTTACGAATGTGCCACCCATCTATAGATGGTTTCACTTCCCGTCTCCCTATGAACAAAGAATGGCCATCCAACATAGATCTCAGAAGAGAGCTGGCTGAGCCATCCAGCACCCGTATCTATGCCATTGCCAAGGTAATATGTGATAAGGGGCCCAGAGTGACTATTTTCTTCAGAATATAGCCACCCTGGACTTTATTTTTTTTATTTTTTTATTATTTAAAAGATTTTATTTATTTATTTGAGAGAGAGAGATAGAGATAGCAAGAGAGCGCATGAGCGGGGAGGAGAGGGAGAAGCAGGCTCCCTGCAGAGCAGGGAGCCCGATGTGGGGCTAGGTCCCATGACTCTGGGAACATGACCTGAGCTGAAGGCAGATGCTTAACCAACTGAGCTGCCCAGGCGCCCTGCCAACCTGGACTTTAAAGTAAAACTGAAACACAAAGTGGTTGTGAATTCAGGGATCTGGGGGAAAAATTTAATTTTCTTCAGTAGTATTATACTAGAGACTTCTGTGGCTTTTTTCAGGTTATTCTATAATTAATGAAATATTACCCCCTTTTTAGAAATTTTATTCGAGCTTGAACTGAAGGACACGTTGCAGGTTTAAAGGATGATCACACAGATAAATGTTCCTTCCTTATATATATATGTATCTTATTGATATTCTTAAGTAGGTTTGATCATATTGACCTGCCATTTCCTGTCCCTCTCGTTACTCGTTCCTTGAAAATGTATAAAATCATATTTTAGAAAGGAAGATGCATAAAATAGTATCATTTAGTATATGCTACTTCAGACTTTAGAATAATCTTTATTTGCTTCTTTCTCTGTGTTTAAACAACAACGACTATAAAGATCTTCCATGATTATAGGCTTTTCTGTGTAATTATTTTATTGGTCTTACTTTTAGAACAAAAAAGCCCCACATTTCTCACTTCCACCCCCTAGTTCCCTTTTATGCAAATTAAATGCCATATTAATCTCCTTTCATGTTTACTATGCGTAGGGTTTTGAAGTTTCAGCTCATCTGATTTTATAAAAGGTGACTTGGGCAGCTGGGACCTGTCTGGTCAGAAATCCCTGAATGGCTTTTTGACATTTAAGGAAGCTTAGGCATTAATCCTCCAACAGTACCAAACCACACTGGAGCTACAAAGCCCTGCTGACCATTTTATATGTGCGTGTGTGCATGTGGGACGAGTTGATGAAAATAAGAATTTTGTCTTTAAAGAGGAAATCTGTCTTTGTAATTTGCCTTTGTAGCAACAGAAAAATGCTGTGAGTGATTTTGAACTCACTGCAACTTTCCCGTCCATGTACTGAGAGTCCTGCTGAGAGGGAGAAGGGGAGGGAATGTTTCCTTCGTTGCATATAATGTATACTCTCCTCACCTTTATAGTTTCTAAATGTGGGATATTAAGTTCCATTGAAATTCTGGCAGATGCTAGTGTCTTTTGATGGACATTTCTCAATATTGAGTTTCAAGGTAATAGAGAATTAACATTTTCAGTGAGCCATTTTACCTTCTTTATTGTTCTTATTTCAGTCTTTTGTTTTAAAAAAGCATTCTACCATATTCTTATGTGTAGATATGCATATGATGTTTTCTTTCCAGACAAAGGGCAGTAAATGGATTTTTTCCTTAAGCGTAGTAATCCTACTTCTGCCATTTTGAGGTGGATGAAAAAGGGAAGTATTTCCAAGTTCTGGGCGAGGCTGTAAAGCTTAAGCAAATCTCTCATTCTTTTCTAACAGACTTATAAAGGATGAGAATTCAGGGGAAACGTGTGGAGGTCCTTTCTCACAAGAGCCCCCTATGTATGAGCAAAAAGTGCAGGGTCTGAGGTATAAATTCTTGTCTGCCAGAGTGCCGGCAGAAGGAACTGTTTGTTGATGTCTGTTTGTTAGAGGTCGTCATTACTGTTCATTGCCCCAGCAACCAGGAACTTGGTGATTTTGACAAAGAGAGTGAGGACCGTGGAGGGCTGAAGGGGGAAAAAATGAAAGGCGTGAGTAAATCTTCGCTCGCTTTCATGGTCCTTACAAAAGGGCAAGTTGCTCTGAGGCCTGATTTTTGCTGCAGTCTTATTTCAGGATGACTTGATCATCACCTCTTTTGATCTGGGGAGAATACAGGGCATTATTTTTGATTTGGGAAACATTAGAGTAACCTTGAACTTGTTTGGGGTCATTATGAACTTCGTCAAAGCTGCCGTGCTTGAAGATGAGGTCATAAGATGGAGAAGATTTGGCTTTCGGTTAGACACGGTGGGTGTGACTGTAATTGTCCTTCCTCACAGTGAAATGAATCCAAGAGTTTAGGCTCTCTGACAACCGTGGGGTCACGAGTGTGTGTGATCATGTGAAAACTTCCTCTGGTCTGTCAAAAGTGTCACTAACTTAAGGTTCTGTCCCCCTCATAGTGTTGATGGCCAACAGCTAATTGAGCCTTTAATCACTTGGAAAATGAGACAGAACACTAAGTCCTTGGGAACCTGGCTATATATAAGGAGAATTAAACAAAAAAAACATGAATAGATGTATGAAATGAGCATGCCTTTGAGTATTTCCATTAGGTGTCATCTTATGCTAGTCAACAGAATTATGAGCTGTGCTGTGTCTCATTGTCTCTCTGGTGCTAGAAATCAGTGAAGGTTTAAAGAAAATTAAGCTCCTTGGGTTGAAATATAATAGCAGAATTACTAGTTACATATATTTCTTAATGGGATTTAAAAATATAATGTGCCATTTCTAGAATATGTGGTTTTGGAGTATTATCTGATTATTAATTTTCATTGAGTATAAACATATATCTAAAAATAGTAAAGAAGAAGAGTGGACAACTTTTGAATATCAAGGTTTGGGTTTTAAGCATTTATCTCTTCTTTCTGTTGCCTTTTCTACTCGGCTTAATGACCCATAGTTGTAATTTTACTTCTGAGAAATTGTTAAAGTAAGCTTGAGGAAAGAGCTGAGCTGCCTATCAGAACAGAAGTTATTACTATACTGTTTTGGAATATATTAGGATTTTGTAAAATGCCTTTCTTAGCACAAAAGTCACAGTAACTGATTCAAAATAATTTTTTGTTTGAAGTCTTCTCTGAGGAAATATTCTAAAGAAATAACACTAAGTCAGATTTGATCCATAAATTTTCACTGACTGGTTTGTGTGAGTGTGGAATGAGGTAAAAAAAAAAACTATGGTATTTGCCAAAGGGTAATTATCCAAAATACAAGTTAAATGATCATCATATTGATTCTAGATGTTCCTACCAATTTGGCTTAACTGTAGTTTCAAGAGATTCTCTTTAATTCCAAAGAGATGTACCCAATTTAGGATATAATTAGCAACATGGTTATATAAAAAGCAGGGAAGCAGAGCCTATTAGGGGGATTTTTCTGAGCACACACAGCTCTGATTAACTCAAGACACCTCCTTGAGGGGGCACCTGGGTGGCTCAGTCGTTGGACGTCTGCCTTCAGCTCAGGTCATGATCCCGGGGTCCTGGGATCGAGCCCTGCATCGGGCTCCCTGCTCAGCGGGAAGCCTGCTTCTCCCTCTCCCACTCCACCTGTTTGTGTTCCCTCTCTCACTGTGTCTCTCTCTGTCAAATAAACAAATAAATTAAAAAAAAGACACCTCCTTGGTACGCCATTTGTGGGTATAGTTGGCAGGGTTGGTAGGTTTATTGGGAGGAACATCAATGATATTATATCAGTTCCATTCTCAGTCTATAGCCTCAAGCTCTCTGAATAATGTAGAGAGGAATGGCTGCTATATGTTTTCAACCAAATAAGACATTTATAAAATGTTTGTCAAAGAAAGTGTCTCTTCTCCTTTTGGCAGGCCTTGGAAGACAACATGTCCCTTGATGAGATTATGAAGCTCACATCCATTGACAAGTGGTTTTTGTATAAGATGCGTGACATTTTAAACATGGAAAAGACCCTGAAAGGGCTCAACAGGTAAGGCAGTGTTGCTCTGATTCACTCCAGATATCTTCTGTGCAGCTGTTGTCTTCCTCTTACCCTTAAGCATTTGGCCAAAATTCTGCCTCAGTGAAGTAAATAGTGCCAAGGCTGGTAAGCAGTAGTGATGGCCACAAGAAATGGCAGTTTTAGATGTTTACCTTTTGAAAGGTATCTCTTGATATTTTTAACCGTTTTGCACCCCTTCCATTGCCATCAAACACAGTGATATTTTTATTAGGTCTTTTGAAGTTAAAAAATTGGTGTACATCTATGAATTCATGTGCTATTTAACTTACCCCAAATTACCTAGATCAAAACATTATCAATCAATAATTAAATGAATGATATTCTTATTTTCTATAATATTTCTAAGTTCTGAAGTCTGTTTCTCTCTTTTAATATCAACTTATATATTGCTGTATGTCGATGAGCCAATGTATTCCTCTTGCATTCTACTGATATTTTTAACATTGGGACTTCCAGTTCAACATACAAATAAGCCACATTCAAGTTCTGTTAATAGATTCTTTAGCTCTCACTAATTTACATTTTTATCTCCTTCATGGCCAATTATTTTTAAAATTTCATTTCATGTTTGGAATATTTTGATAATGTCAGTGCTTTAAAATCTACTTCTTTATTTTTCATGACAAGACCATTTGTTGGGGCACCTTAGGCTTATGAAATCACAGAGAGGTTTTAAACATGGATCTTTGATAAGAGGAACATTTATTACCAATCTAGAGGAGAGAGTATAATCCTTTTTAGCTTCTCCCCTTTTAAGAGGGTTGGGAAATACACAATTATTTGAAAGAAGTCTCACCTACAAGCCTAGGCATATGTTTAGAGAGAAGGAAATATTTTATTTGTGTAAATTATTCTCAAATGATTAGAGAAAACATAAAAATATTAATCACTTAAAATGTTGTTGAAGACAGTGGAAGTTCTCAAAGCCTGCATCTGTGACGTATAATTGGGTTACTGTGTTTACCTAATCAAGATGCCCACACGAACTGGGCAGTAATAACAGTTGCTTTTCTTCTTGAGCAAAATGAGGTTCTTTTTCATCAATTGAACAGTTGCCCACAACAAATGTTTGGTTTTGGAAGTGGAGGATTCCAATCTGCCAAAAATGAAACTAGCTGCGGTTGCTTAAAAGTCATCCCTTCTAGTGATCACATAAAATGAACACTAGACAGCAAATACGTTAAGAATTGAGCCTGTACATTCATCTTAGAATTTTGCTGACTGGAGATTTCTTTTTCTTGGTTTATGAGGCCAACAGAACTTCCATGTTGATTTATTGTCTGTTCTACTGTTTCCAGTTTCAGACAACTGATTTCAAATGCCTATGAAACCACATGAGGGTGCTAGAAACTTACAGTATGCCAATTGTAGCTGTGGGAGAGACCTGGGGTGAAAAATAGCAGATGTTGTTGTGATTTAAATTTTCACTTGATATACATTCTGATTTTTGGACAAATTCTGTGTTTTAATTGAATAGTTTTTGTTACAACCAGAAGGCAGGTTGAGATTCTCACTAAGCAGAAACAAGTGTATATTGAGAATGAAAAATGTCCTTGGAGGATTAGACCCGCTTACTGTTACAGATCACTTATCTTTCTGATTTCCACGTTCTGTTATATTTATTTGCTGATAATTTAACATTTTTAGTTTCCATTTTCTGGCATAAGCATATTTGTAAATAGAGATATTTTCTATTGTTCATAATGATCAACATTAAAATTTTTTATATAAAGCTTTTAATAACTTAAAATAGTCTAAAACATTATACTTAAAGTTGTCTTTTGTCTCAAGAACTCAATAGGTGATCCATGGTATTAGTAAACCTAAACCTTGAACTCATTATTTTCTGAATGATACTTTACTGTTTAATTCTTCTTGGTTTTTGTTTGTTTGTTTGGTTTTTTGTTTTTTGATTTTGGAGTGTCCTAGATGCACACAGAGCAATTTGATAGTGATTGTTATTTAGAAGTGTTAAATAAGTTAAAAAAAATAAAAAGAATAGATGGCCACTAAAGCTACCTGTCTTAATCATTGTGTGGTCCACAGAGGTCTGAAACTGAATGGATATCATAGCTGATGGAATGTAAGTGTGTAGGACTTGAGTTTTGTTGTGCTATTTTGGTTATCTTCACCGTTACCCTGGATTATGATGTCTTCTGCTTTTTCCCAGCCTCTACATATCCAAGAAGGCTTAGTCATCAAGGCAGATACTGCTCCAACAGTAGTAATAACTCTCCATTGGCAGTTGGCATTATATAGCTGAATTATGCATTGCCAGTTTGCAGAAAGTTTATGAAGATCAGTTCTTTTTCCTTTACATTTATCTGTGGTTCACTTTGTTTCAAAATTTCAACTGTTCCAGTGTTGGAAAGGCTGACTTTCCTTGTAGACCGAGGAGGTAACTATTTGGTGTGATTTGAGATGGTCCGCAAATTCTCTTGCCTCAGCCTCTCTCTGCTGCCAATGTGCCCAGGTCCCTTTGCACTTTTCTGACAGGTCCCTGGGAAAACAGGCAGTGGGGATCTCGGCTGAGAGAAAAGCCGAAACTTAAAGAAGGGATGAAGTATAGAATGCCAGATATGGATTAAGTTTCACTTGGTTCCTTTCCACTTGGAAAGAACGCAGGGTCTGGAGCTAATCAGATAGATAGGTGGGGAGCCCCCCCCCCCCCCCCCCGTGGAATTGCACGTCACTTCCCTCCCTTCTCTGGCCTCACAGGGTTTCTGCTAATGTCTGCTTAATAGTTTTGTTGTGAAGCTTAAACAATATAAATATAAAGGACACCTGGCACGTGGTGAATGCCCAAGATGGTTTTCCCTCTTTCCCCCTGAAAATGAAAATGCTACTTATTATAATGAAGAGTATTTTGTGATTTCAGATAGATACATTTAAAGACTACTTTTTAGAGTAGTCTTTAGAGCTACACAATTTTCATTTGCTTATATATTTTACAATATGTCACGTCTTAACTTTCTTGATGATGCACTGTCACTTCACTTGTTTTAATACCAGACCTATTTTTTTAAAAAGAAGCAATGATAGCAAGTAATACAAATGCTATTCTTATCAAAAGATCAATAACACTCCATTATGCTAATGAACAAAAATTCCCACTCTAGAGTTGTTAATCATGCTAAAATTCTTTTAAAATCCAATAAATAATGTTTACTAGCACAGGATGAGAACATCATTCAGATTGATGGCCAGTCTGTGACTTGTATTTACATATAGTCATCTGAGATGAAGTTCAGAATTTGACTCCTAAATGGAATATAGCCATGTATTTAGTATATATGTGAATGTCCATAGACCGGACTGGGGAAAACAAAACAATGTTTGTAATGAGGTTGGCATTATGGAAATAACTGAGGAGTTTTCCATGTCTATGAGAAAGTGAAAATTATAGAAATTCCTTTCCTTGAAGGGTGGAGTTGAACATGTGTCTTGCTGAGGATGATATATGAAATCCCAGCCTAGTTCAGGGTGACAAGACATTAGACTAGTGTTAGAATTATCGACTCAGCGTCCAGGCTGCTAGTGCTTGCTCCCATCAGAACTCAGTTTGCCATCTCCAGCACATGAGCATAGCAATGGCAGCCCACGGGAGACTTCCAGAGCAATAGCCATTCTTACCAACTCAGGTGATAGCCGTGATTCAGACAGCTTCAGCAAAAATTTCTCTTCCCCACTTGAATTCACTGACTTTCTCCTTTTCCTGTTAAATTGTTTATTGCTGCCCAAGGGCATGCTAGGAATGTTGATGGTTCTAGGCAGTTCCCCGAATTTATAAGCTGGTGTAGTAGCATTAATCGACCTAGAGTGATAACATATTTTACAGTGAATTTCTTTAGGTTTTGAAAAGTTTCTCTTTACTCCATGTGATGTGAGTTGTATCATGTAGGATTCCAATGCCTGTAATGCATATGCGCTGGGATTTAGATGTTAATCTGTTAACTTCACGTTACTGGATCACTCTGCAGGGAGTTTAAGAAGAGTTGAGTCTGTCAGAGTTTTTAGTGGAGCTGCAACGTTTGCATAAGCTCTATCCGTTGGCTTTCACAACTGAGCTATCCACTTTTTAATATGTCTATTTTCCCCACACTTGCTCATCTTACCAACACCGACTCTTTCACACATAATGCTCCTCCCATATAGCATTTTCATAAATACTTACTACAAGAAAAAATATACTTATTTTGCTCTGTTAAAAATTACAAAAACCTCACCTATATTCCTTTCCTCCATTAGCATATAGAGAGATTCAATTTTGATCATGCAAATAAACCTGACCTGGAGGGCAAAAGTACAAGTACCATAAATCAAATAAATCAAATGTCAAATGTCTTCATCAGCTAGGTTCTCCTGATATAGCTGATTCCCTAAGATAACAAAAGAATGGATTTAGAATTATATCTTTCAATATAGGAAACTGAATTTTGATTCAGGCAAACAATTCTGAGTGCCTTTCAAGTGTAAGATGATAATCAGTAAACTTATTGACTACATATCAGTCACTGTTCTAAGCACATTATTTCATTTAGCTTTTACCACAACCTAAGGAGATCAGTAATTATCCTGATTTTACAGTTGTAAGCTGAGGCACTGAGATATTTAGCAACTTCCTTGCTATCACATGCTAATAAATGACAGATGTGAGATCAAACCTGAGCAGGACTCCAGAGCTCAGGATGTTTGATATTTCACCCCTTTGCTGTATGTAAATGTGTGTATATGTATATACACACACCTATATATGAATACATACATATATATATGTATTCACACATATAATTGTATACATGTATGTTGAGGGGTGTCGAAAGGTGAATTAAAGAGCATCTGAGGGAAATAAATTTACATAAAATAGACACTTTCAATATAGTAATGATATTCAGTGAAGGATGACAGTCCCATCACCATAGAACTAGCACAAAGTTTTCAACTATGTTAGTAATTAATAGACAAGC